GTAAATCCATATCCTGAAACAGAAAATTTGAAGATATTGATTGCTCCTTTTTAAACTCTAATAAAAGAATAATTTTCCTGTCTAAAAGACAGGCACAATCTCTCCAGGGAGACACTGCATCTTTATAATCTATAATCACTTCAGTGCTAAAACTATTCATAACAAATTTAAATTTAAAAGCATATTCCTGATTAAGAATAGAAAGATTTAGAAGTGTAATATTAAATAAATATTTTTAAATAGCTCTACTTAATATATCTTCCTTTTCCTAAGGAAACACATATTCAACACACGCATAATTTTTTAACAGTAAAGTGAAATACCTCTAAAGTTAAATAGAACTTGGAAAAAAGCTAACAAATACACATAAAAGTTGTATGAACAAAGAATATTTTGATGGAGAACAGATCCAGGAGGTCACATAATCCAGTAGATGCCCAGAGCCTGGATCACAGGACCACAGAATTCCAGCCACTCCAGCCAGTATATCAACTTCACCAGTAGCCCAACTTAAATGCCTCTGTGCCAGTGTACATAGCACAGGGAATAAACCAGAGTTAAAGATGTGTCTGCAGGGCTGTGATATTACTGGCACCACACACAGATGTGGTGGGACGGCTTCTAGGAGTGGAGAGTTGGAATGGAAAGATACAGGCTCTAGAGGAAGGACAGATGGGGAAGATGAGGAGGCAGTGATGCCATCTATGTCAAGTTGGGAGTCCATAGAGCTCGACATAGGGATGGATGAGACCACCTGGGGATGGATGAGAAGCTATCCTCATCCTCCAAGAGCTTATGGGTCAGGGATTAAAGAGAGGGCAGGGACAGATGGTTTTATAGTGGAGGTCTGCTACAGGCTGCCTGGTTAGGCAGACCAAGTAGATGAAGCCCTCCACAGACAGACAGGAGCAGCCTCTCATTCACAAGCCCTGGTCCTCATGGGGAATTTCAACCACATCCATATCTGTTGGAGGGACAACAGAGAGGGCATAAAAAATTCAGGATGCTCCTGAAATGCTTCCTTCTCCAAGAGAAGCCAGTAAGAGATGGACTATGTTCTCCCCATGGACTATGCTAGACTTTGTTCTCTCCAACAAGGAGGGGCTGGTGGGGAATGTGAATCTCAAGTGAAGTCTTGGCTGTGGTGGAGTTGGAGATCCTTCGGGCAGCAAGAAAAAGGCACAACAAGGTCACTACCCTGGACTTCTGGAAAGCAGACTTTATCTGGTGCTGGGACCAGTGCTGTTTATGATCTGTGATGGTGACAAGGACAGTGGGGTCAAGTGCATCCTACGCAAGTTTGCCAATGACACCAAGCTGTGTAGTGTCATTGACACACTGGAGGGAAGGGATGCCATTCAGTAGATCCTTGACAGGCTTGAGAAGTGGCCACATGCAAACCTCATGAAGTTCAACAAGGCCAACTACAAGGTCCTGCACCCGGGTCAGAGCAATCTCAAGCACAAATACAGGCTGAGCAGAAAATGGACTGGGATCAGCCCTGAGGAGAAGGACTTAGGGGTGTTGGTTGACAAGAAGCTCTATATGGTCCAGCTGTGTGCACTTGCAGCCCAGAAGGCCAATAGTACCCAGGGTTACATCGAAAGCAGCATGACCAGCAAGTCAAGGGAGGTGATTCTGCTCCTCTACTTGGCTGTGGTGTGACCCATCCAGCTCTGGGGTCGTCAGCACAGGAAAGACATGGACCTGTTGGAGTGAGTCCAGAGGAGGGCCAGCGAGGTGATGAAAGGGTTGGAGCACCTCTCACATGAAGACAAGCTGAGAGAGTTGGGATTGTTCAGTATGGAGAAGAGTAGGCTCCAGGGAGACCTTGAGCAATATTCCAGTACTTAAACAGGCTACTTTTGACAAGGGCATGTGTGATTGGAGAAGGAGGAATGGCCTTAAGCCGAAAGAAAGGCGATTTATATTAGATATTGGGAAGAAATTCTTTACTGTGAGGGTAGTGAGGCAGTGGGACAGGTTGCCCAGAGAAGCTGTGGATGCCACATCCTTGGAAGTGTTCAAGGTCAGGTTGGACAGGGCTCTGAGTAACCTGGTCTAGTGGAAGGTGTCTCTGCCCATGGCAGGGGGCTGTAACTAGATGATCTCTAAGGTCCCTTCCAACACAAACAATTCTATGATTCTGTGATGACATCTGTAATGAAAATACCTTTTTCCACATCAAACTCACAAGAAATTTTACTGAAAAGGAGGTCTGTATTTTCACCTGCAGATTAGATTACTCCAGTTTACTCTATCCAACTCTGAATGTGAAACCTGCAAAAAGATTCCAGCTTGGACTGAACACATCTACACTCTCCATGCTAGACTAATATAAACATTCAGCCTGATTCCCAGGATGACTTCATGGCAATTCAGGGATTTGTTTTTTTAACTAACGCTAATTGCAAACAACACTAGAGAGCAATTTCATGTACTTAGCCACTCAATTCACACCATCAAGGCAAAGACTTAGTGTGTAGGAATATCAGGTATTGTACAAATCCAAATGAGGAAAGACTAATTGAATGAGATTCTGGATTATAAACACAAGAAATTAAATTTTGAAACACCTTTCACTGCTAACTCCTTTTGATACCCAGAGCTACTGTGAAGCTCCTTAGTATGTATTATAACTTCAGGAGACCATGTGCACAACATGGGTAATGGGTCTGCATTTCATTAAGCACACTAAAAATCACTGTTTAACTAAAAGAGTTACAGGAATTTCTAAAAGGAGTCAATGGTGTTGTCACTTCAAGGATCTAGTCAAAATGGCACATAAATTCAGCTTAAATTTTTGACACAAAAATTGCCTTATATCGGTGCTTCTGACTTCCTGCTTTAGAAGATTTGTTATTAAGAATGGTCCAAAAAACAAACTAGTGACAGAAAAATATGGCATGATCCCAAATGTGGATCCAACCTGAATCTGATTAGAAAAATAGCAGCTTACTAAAACAACAAAGTTCAGAAAAGCATGCACATGACTGGTAGTTCCTCTCAAAGCTTCTATTTGCCTGACAAAGCGGTTCCAAGTCCCTCTGGAGCAGTAATTCCAGCTAGGTCATAGCATATCTGAATATACAATTTGATCGGTTTTGATAGCCCTTGAACTGATATAGCTTGACCTTTATACTCTTTGCCAAAAGCCACTACCAACCTTATGAACTTTCCTAAGTATTTAGTCTTGTCAAGATGTTATCTGACAACCCTTTTAACATCCAACATATGCAATGAGCTCTTCCGAGAAGATGCTAATGCATAAGGAAAACATATGTAGATGAAAATTCAAAAGCACTTTTGTCAAGATTTTAGAGGGGCCATAGCAACATTTTTTTCCCCTCACAAAAAAGATACATAAAGGTTCAACTATGCAAGCACACTGTTCTGGATTTACCTGACTGAAGTTATGGTTAATAATGTGCTCCTGCTATCTTGTTAAAATTGTTTCTACTGTTTAATATTATTATAAATAATATTTTGTCAACGGAAGGAGAAAAATTAAAGGAAAACTGTCAGACATTCAGAAAACCCTTAAGCTTCCAAGACATGATAAGTTTCCAAAGATCCAAGAACACTTAGTCCAAGACCTCTCCTCTTCTAGATATGTTAGTTTTCAGCAATAAGAACTGTTGCTTTGTTACGTATGTTAAACTGTTATGCTTATCACCTTAAATTACTGCTTCTTCAAAAACAGAAAAGAAACTTTATTTAACACAGACTCAAGGTAAAAAGCATTTTGTTGCAGGCTATTTATACTTTGTTCCTGGAAAATACACAGAGAGTATTTTCTCCTTCCTTTCTTCACCATCCTGGAATATTCTGAAAGAATAAGTGTACTCTATCTATTGCCACTGCCTTAGAATGGAAAAAACATTTTAATACAGAAGGGTGAGTTCTGATAATTATTCCTAAAACAATCAGTGATTACCATTTTTCTAGGTCACTGAATATCTTCTGGAAAGGAACAAAATGCAGGAAAAAATGAAATAAAAATCCCCACCAGGAGACAATGCCCCTACTCTTTGCAATATTCAGTTTTTGAAAGGCAGTGTGAGTCTGCTGCAGCACAGAAACTGTGCATTTCCATTGGACACAATCAAAGGAACACAATAAAGGAATGCATAAACAAACACACTTGTTTGCAGTCTACAGGCTGAGCTGTGTCCGATTATCAATGAAACCACAATTAGGCAAATACATAATTCAAAATGAAATGGTGACATAGGAAGTGGTGGAAACAGAAGCACACAACTATCAGGGGCAGAGCAAGATCAGTCTGACACTCCCTTTGCTTTTGCACAGCCAGCACAGGTAGCTCATCTCCTAACTTTAAAACTCCAGAACTAATAAATCAACCAAGTGACACCAAGTGTTGCAAACCGCGGCAGTGAACTAAGGAGACTGACTGAAGGAGTTCAGGACTGCAGTGCAAAGGACTGCAGCCTTGTTCAGCCCAAATCCTACCTAAACAGTGTACATTTCCTATCACCAGGGTGCCTCTGAAAACCTAAAAACCAAGAAATACACTGCACAAAGAGATTATGTAGGCTGTGAGCAGTTGAATTAGTACATAGATCATTACCCAAAAGATTTTAGGACTTTATTAATAACATCAATGTCATTAAAATTTTTATTAAGACTACACATAAATGTGTTCAGGTTCTTCTACATCCTGTTTAAATCTGAAGAATGTAAACACAGAAAGTTATTAAAAATATAAAATAAATGTTTATATTTGCATTTTGGTTTAGCTACAATCACTAGTATTTTCAGTGAAGCTCTGCCACTTCAGTGAAATGTACCAGAGGAAAAAAAAAGAAAAAAAAATCAGACAAGCTGCTTCCTGTAACAAACAACTAAAAATAACATCTAACAGTTTATTTGTAAACCATGCCGTAGTTATAAAAAACACTGGAAGAAGGACTAATGAGTTTTATATTTGAGGCCCACTCAAGATCTTAGAAAGTACTTAAAACTCCAACAATGCTTACCTTAAGGACACACTATACTCAGGATAAAAGATGCTTTTATATTGAACCCAAGTCCCGGTTTCCTCTTCCATATTCTGGTCTTCTACTGAAAAGAGATTGAACGATGCAAACCTTCTTACAGATACTTGTTGGAGATGCACATCTTTCAAGTGCTTTTTCTTCAGAACCTTTGGAATGAGGAACAAATTAAACATTAAGAATAAAACTTCAAAGAAAAGAACAAACACAGGCCTATTTAAGTGAAGAGGCAAACCATAATGGCTGTGCTATCAGCTAATAGTTATGAAAAACTACTCCAAGTATGTCAAGCCTGAACAAAATAACAATGGTATTAATGGTAAGGGTCAAGGGAATGGGTTATGAATTATGTCTCAATAACTGTAAAGCAAATGTACTGTGTTCAGAAGTACACAAAGATGGGTTTTTAACTCTTGCTCTAACAGACCCATGCAAAAATTAGAGAGGCAAACTGGGTTCTCCCCATCCTCTCATTTCACAAAGTTTCACAGTCCAAGCAGTGCCCTCACCAAGAAACTTCCGTGCCACTCACTGTCCCTACAGAGGAGTGGGGAGAGGGAAAATGAAGCGAGAGTATCATCTATAGAATTTAAACAGCTAAACCCAAAACATGATCCTCGGGTGTCTGAGTACTGTGTTTCCCTGGCAGACCACTTCCTACCTTACAAGTCGTCTTCGAAGTACTACATATGTGAGCAGAACAATCGTGTTTGCTATGCTGTTAGCTCCTAGCAGCAGGTTTGAGGCATCAGGCTTCCTGTTTGGAACCCTTGGCAGGTCTCAGCATATGAAAGGCACAGGCATTTTCAACAAAGTATGAAAAATGGCTGTGTGCTGTCCACACTACTTGTTCTTCTGTGACACATGAAAAAAATACATGCATGAAGGAAATGGCAAAAATATCAAAACAGGAGAACCAAATGTAAAGACCAGCAAAACTGAGGCCTTCATGTAATAGCAGCAGGCCTGGAAAGAAAATAGACCATTTTTACAACTAAGGAAAACCTCCAAAACCTAATTTTCAGAAAAGCGTGTTGTTTGGGGGCTTCTTTAAAGCAATGGCAAGCCAAACATACATACAGGGAGTAACCTAATGCATGCCTATTTCTCTAACTTTGTTGCTAAAAACTACAGACTGGGTAATGCCATCAGCTGCACAGACTGGCAGAACTCAAAAAACAGCATTAGAGAATTTACTCTGGTCATTTTCAAATGCATTTTCAAATGAATAGCTAACTTCCCTTAGCACTGATTCAAAGCAAAAAGTCTTTTCCTTGATTCTGACAGGCTACCTTGGAAAATGTTGGCAAACTTCAAACTCACTACATACATAAAACATTTTATTGATAAAGAACACATAGGTAATTATGCAAACCCCTGGTTCTTTATGCTAGCTTCATAGGATACCTCATAAAAGGGCTTTTTTCTTAATTAAATCAGCGAGCATGCACTCAAGCATCCTTACCATAGTAAATCAATTTGTGTGAGCATTGAATGAAAGCAAATTCAATATATAAACACACCACAGAACCGATTTCACGTAAGCCACTATTATAAGCAGTATGAAATGTGTTTTTAAAAGCACTGTAAGAAACACTTTGACAGTGCTCCTTTAAAGATAGATATAAAGGGAGGTTGATACCTTCTTCCAATCCATAGATATATCTGAGCACTTCTATAGTAAAGAGTGCAGAACTCATTTTTACTTCAGATGTACCAGTAAGATTAAATTGATCCTTGCTCATTGCACCGTACAAAAATCAAAAGAAAAGCTAAAGAACATGGGAAAACCCAGGGAATCTGCAGAGGAAAAGGTCACAGATACATGTAGTTTGAGGAAGAAACAGAAGCCTTCTCCCCAGATACCTACACGCACCCTTCCACAATCCCATTCTGTTGCTATGAAAAGCTTCTTGTGATTTTTAAGAGACAGGCATATGCCAAAGGCAGTATATATTGAAAACAAGTAACAGCTAGTACAGCCACATAGCCCATCTTACACAATCTGCTAGAACAGGAACCTACAAAGACAAACCTGATTTTCCTACCAGTAACTTTGACATTTCCTGCTTTAGAGTATAATAAAACAGGATTTGGTCCTGTTGAACAGAACTGGCAAATCTACAAACCAAAACCACATACCAAGTGCAATATTGATGCCCTCAGGCCTCTCAGTCCATTACCCAACTGCAGCCAGGTGGCCCTTTCAACCCACTGCTGCCACTCCACCTTCTCAGGGAAAGCTGTGGATGGGCAGCTCCAGGTGCCCGTCTGCAGAGAACTAAACATTGGAGTTAGGGCTGTAAATATCACACCCCATAACAATAACAACTAATTAAGCTGATCTGGGTTTTTTAAGCCTTTACACATACACATGCAAAGGAATCCTTTCCAGCCTTGCATAGCTCCTAAAAGGTCTAAAACAGTGTGGAAGGCTGGAGCTCAGAAGCTGCTGGCACCACAGCACAGGTGTCACCACTTGCTCCTTCTTCCTCCTTGCCCTCCTCCAGGCATGGCCCCGCCAGCCTCACCGAAGTGCAATTTTCACTGCCAGGTGAGTGGGGTCTTGCTCCAGTTCCCCATGAAAGGCAATTTGGGGAACAGGGAGCAAAGAACAGGAATGAAACAACCAGCCACAGCAGCATCGATGGAAAGTGTCAAACCCGAAAATCCCAAGGAAGTGCCCTCAGGCTATGAGGTCCCTTCCCTTAACATTGGCCACAGACTGTTTTGGGGATCAACTACAGGCACACTTTAGAATCACAGAATGTCCTGAGTTGGAAGGGACCCATCTCTTGGCTCTGTGCAGGACTCACGAAGAATCCTGAGGGCATTGTCCAAATGCTTCTTGAACTCAGCCAGGCTTGGTGCTGTGACCACTTCCCTGGGGAGCCTGTTCCAGTGCCCAACGACCCTTTGGGCAAAGAGCCTTTTCCCAATATCCAACCCAAACCTCCCCTGACTCAGCTCCATGCGGCTTCCTCGAGTCCTGTCACTGCTCACGAAAGAGAGCGGTGCCTGCCCCTCCGCTCCCCTTCTCTTCAGAGAGCCATGGGCGCGTATATACACGTACGTATCTTTATTATGACCACATTTTCCAGGCAGAGGGCTGCAAACCTCTTTGCAAACCCCCCGCACTGTTGCCGGCAATCCACCCCCCAGAGGTGCGGACAGCGCTCCGCAGCCCCGCGGCAAGGCCAGCGCTCCAGGGCCACAGCCCGGCCCTGCGCTCCCTCGGGCCGCGCCGCCCCCCCGGCCATGCCGGCAGCCCCTCCCTCCCGCGGGCTCCCCCTACCTGTCCGAGCAGCCGCCAGCGCGCTCGGGCCGCCCCCGCACCTCTCGCCTCGCACTTGTCCGCGGCGGGGCGGCGCGAGGAGCTGGCAGTCTCGGCCATGCCCCAGCGGGAGCGCCTGGAGCTGGCGCGGCGGGAGGGAGCGCTGGCCGAGCCGGCGGGGCCGCGCCACCGAGCATCCAGCGGCTGCGGGACCGGCCGGGCTAGGGATGGAGCGGGAGGAGGGGGGCGGCCATCTTTGATAGGGGCAGTGCTCGGCCGGTCTCCAAGCGGCCGAGGAGTTCCGCGCTTTTCAGGCCCGACACCGCGGGGGCGGGAGCGCGCCTCAAGACAAGTCGCCTGTGGGCTCCGCGCCTGGGCACGGGACTGTGCGTGGCATGGCAGCTACCCGAGAAAGCCGCGCCGGGAGCCGGGCCAGCCCGCCCGCCGTGGCTCCGCACCCCCGCGCTGACATCAGCGGCCGAGCTGCTGAAGCGCCCGGCCGCCATGTTTGCTGCGGGCAGCGCCAGCCGGGAGCGCTGCCGCATGCCTGGCATCTTATCCCGGGCAGCCCCGGCGGAGCGGGACCGGGACCGGGAGGAGGAGCGGGAGCGCCATGGCGAGTCCTTGCGCGGGCCGCGGCGGGAGGGACAGCCTTGGTGGGGAGCGGGGCCGCGCCGGCTCCTGCGGCCCCGGCGGGACACGTGGGGCCCGAGCCCGCAGACGGGGTCAGCTCCTGCTGCCGAGGGACCCTCTGGAGAGAGTGTGGTTTTGGCGTTGGATGATGGGGGAGCGGGGGGGATTCGACTTCTCCAAACTCTCCCAGAATTTTGTTCTTCAGCGTTTGAACGTGCGCAGTTGCACTTTTCATTCCCCTCATAGTTTCACCGGAGTTAAACTTGAGCCGCCAGGAACGTGCTGGTTATAATGCAAGTACCAGTTGATAAGAGACAGCCAAAGTTCTACTGTGTCTTCTCATATGATTTACCTAATGAATCAATCTCATTTCTGTCAGAGAGGAAGTTTTACCTGCAGTTTATCTTACGTTTATTTCACACACAGTGTAAATGTTCTGCAGTTCGGGATTTTCAGAGATTTCAGGTTGGCTATCAAGAAATGAAGGCTATGATGTCCTACGTTGGACTGCGAAATCTTCTCCAAGGGCTGAACTTCAGTGTCAAGTACTACTCTAGCATTAACCATCTTCAAACAACGTGTCCTTGTAGTAAAATTAAAGCAAAAAATGCCACATCCTGAACTGTTCAAGATGTACAGGCACACGCAGGACTGCACCACCTGAAAGCATCCTGCCATGGAGATTCTTTTCCTGCAAGGTATGCTGTTTAAGTATAGACTTAATGTCCACAAGCACCTTGGTATATCTCTTAAGGAAGCCAGCCATACTTTTCGAAAGCATGTTGAAGCAGCATAGTTGTCCTGGAGAATTTGATGCAGAGGGATAAATACCAGGATATCAGTTACATTCAAAGACGTGTACTGTTATTAAACTTTCCTGTGCTGCTTTGATGTAAAGCTGCATTTCTGTTGGTCTTCCTGAGTACTTTTTAAAAAACTGGTATCTTCCAGAAATGATCAGGTAAAGTTCAGGAGAAAACTGCAGGGAGGTATCAGCTAGTGTAGTGGCAAAGTATCCAAACTGATGACACCAGACTTAATCACTGTGAGCTGGTTCAAGAAAAAACTTGGTTTTTTCTGTGCTGACCAGTCAGTCATGGTTTACACCATATTAAATATTAAAATATAATATTGATACAATCATGTTCACGTGTTATAAATTATACTTCTAAAGGTACTTGTATTGATTTCTTTATGTAAATAGTGAGCAATTGGATGGTAGTATATCATGCACAAAGTCAGAAAACAATCTGAAATAATTTTAGGTCTTCTGTTCCAGTATTTTTAATATAGATTTTGTTAAATGTATTATAAAAATGTACTGTAGTATGACAGCCTGGAAACTGATTTATATGCATACTGCAAGTGCATAAGTACTGTTTTAAAATACTTTTGGTTTATTTGATCTTAAACATGTTCTCAGATGGATGTGATGTTGTCCTAAAATTGCTTTTATTTGTCACCATAAAGTAAACAGCTCCTAAGTGTGTGTCTTACATGTAAACAGATGTTTCAAGAAGAACATACAAAGTCTGGATGAATGAGAATGTGTGGTTCAGTTTATTCTTTGGCACTTCACTAACACAGTTACAAATGCTGGTCTGTGACACTGGTTCCAGGATATAAACAGATGGTATTTCACCTGAAGGGAAGCTGTGCCTGTTTGCTTTGAAGCAAATGTTTGCAAACTGATTGTTACTGAGATCCTCTGCTATCTACATGTTTCTGGATTACTCTTTTTCCCCAGGCAGGGAGATGTACAGTAACTCTTCAATATATCCCTACTGTCCTACACTGTGACCACCAGCTGTGTATAATATTTCCAGATAAATACCATGGGAACTGTTGAAAACAAAAGGAGGGCAATCATCAAAGTATTCATAAAGAGTGGAACTTGCCAAAATAAGCTGTGGATGCTAAAATTTTACACAGAATCATAGAATCAGCCAGGTTGGAAAAAACCTCTGAGCTCATCAAGTCCAAATGCCGTGGTTAGTAACCATGGCACTCAGTGCCACATCCAGTCTCATCTTAAAAATCTCCAGGGACAGTGAATCCACCAGCTCCCTGGGCAGTCCATTCCAATGTCTGATTAGTCTCTCTGTAAAAAATTTCTTCTGAATATCCAACCTAAACCTCCCCTGGCAGAGCTTAAGACTCTGCCCTCTTGTCCTACTGCTATTGCCTGGGAGAAGAGACCGACCCCCACCTGGCTACAGCCTCGTTTCAGGTAGTTGTAGAGAGCGATGAGGTCTCCCCTGAGCCTCCTCTTCTCAGGCTAAACAACCCCAGCTCCCTCAGCCTCTCCTCGTAGGACTTGTGCTCGAGGAATAAGTATACAGGAAGATCATACAGACATGAGAGAGAGTTTTTAAATATCCAGAAACCACGTTCAGCTCAGGAAATGCCTGAGCTAAAACAGTTGAAGGCTGAGGGAATACCTGTAGAGGAAAATAATCTGGCTTGTGCCATTCTTATGCTTTCCTAAGTGTCTCCTTATGGCCACTCTGAGTTTTTTATTTGGTTGCATCTAGTCTGTGGAATAGTGTTCTCTTAAAACAGTTTTTCCAGTGACTGGGAAGAGGGTGGTACAACTTGGGCATCCTGCAGTTTCTTTACCCTGACCAATTACACAGTTGCTCCAGAGGTTCTCTAAGGGCTTTCACAATTTCTTTGCCTTGTGCTTCCAATTTGATGTACCAGGTAAGAGGGACTTACTGGTCTGAACCAATAACAGAAACTCGTAACTCCTCAGTGATGTGCTTTATGTTCACAGGGAGTTCAGTAAATGGAACAAATGGTTTCTTGTCTACTGGTAATGTTCAGATTTTGGTTCTCATGCATTTGTGAAGACAAACTAGGAACAAACCAACAGTTCTTCATGCAAAGTGAGGATAGGGTATAAAGCACAGGCTGCTTTTTAGGTTTAGACACTATATCATAGTTCATATCATACACTGAATGTTAGAAAATGCTACTCTGTACGATCTCTGTGATGTAGTGTAATATATGTTGTTAAGCTTATTACTTGATCAAGTGAGATTTCACATCATGCAAGAGGAATTAGCATTGTTCTAGCAGTTTTAACACATTTTTAACATTTTTACAATAGAACACAGCTTTGTTGGCAATGAGGTAGCAGTAGTCTGCTCACAGGTCATGGAAAACCAGATCCTTAAACTTATTCCTGATAAAATTGTCGCAGAACAACAGTTCACTGCTCCACTTCATTCTGCACCTTATGAACATTTATATTAAGACTTTTGAGGAAGTGGAGCAAGAACCTGAACAAGGACTCCTAGGTACTGGGACAGAGGTGTGGGTGGTATTGTTGTCTAGGGAAGGAAATGAGAAATTACACTCTAAAGACAGGAAATTATGAAAGAACACCTGTGAAGAAGGGAAAATAATAGAATTCCATAAAAATTAACTAAAACCTAGTTCTAGAAAAAGAACAGATATTTTTACTCATAATCAATTAAGAGCATATATTAATAGTACCCTAAATTTTGAAGAGACCACCTCAATAAATGTATCAAGAAAAGCACATTTGACAATGCCTCTTCAAAAGATCAGGAAGAATTACAATAAAAACATAATATCAACTGTGGTTTTTCTTTTTTGTGGCACATACTATTGTAATAATGCAAAGTTGGTTTGGGGTCTGTAGCTTAGGAAATACTCAATATGTTCGTTTTGATGTACATTGTGCTGGCTTGTAGCCATTGCTGTCTTTCCTCACGTAGCAGGAAGGAACAAGAATCTCCTCCAAAAGGAAGCAAAGTACATCTGTAGTAATGCCAGAGCTTTTGCACAAGAATCTTCTGAAATCAGAGCAGGAAAACTGGAATGACATTTCACCAATATACAAACCCCTGACAAAGAGAATCAAAGAAAAACTGGAAGAATTGCACAACAAGTACACATTCAATTCAGAAAGCCCAAGGGTAAGTGGCAAAAAATACATTTCCCATTGTTAACTGCAAATAAAAAGCAGTGAAGCCATTCCTTCTATAAAATGCTCGTTTACTGATTATTTTATGGTAGAAGTTTTGAATATTTTAGTAATTGTGAGTAGTAGCAGCGTGTGTTTAGAACAGCTTATTCCTGTTATGATAGTGAATTTACCTTAATTTCTCCATAGCCAAAAGCAAGTAAAGATACAATAATCATCTGACTTTTGCATAAAGAATACAAGACGTAAGTTGCAAGAGAATTGCAGTGATCTGAGGCTTTTGTTAAATTTAAAGCAGGTAGAGGAAGCTTTAGTACCCTAACTTTGAAAGAACCTTTGTGATGTGTGCAATTCCTTATTCAGTACCAAATATATGTGCTATATCCTGTCATTTGTATATGGCACAATTCCATTGTACAGAACAATGAATACAAGGATTCTAAGGAAATAGTCTAACTATATGTTGGACTTGAAACATGCTTGTTTTGTATTGCACAGATGAGGTTTGGAGAGAATGTGTACTTTGAAGAGAATGGCTGCATATTTCTTTCAAAAGCAGATGATGGTAAGGGATTTATCTTCCTAATACGGTAGGACTCTTAAAAATGGTATACATGTATCACTTAGTATTCTTTTGTTACATTAAAGCTGAGTTTCTCTGTTTCTCAAAATAACTAAAAATACTTTTATACAATTCTTTAATGCTTGATTAATAATTCTAGAATCCTGAATCTGAAAAGGTGAGGTGAAGAGGGTTAGAGAATAGTATATATTGATACTAAGGCAAGTTGCTGGAGAGGAAAGAGAGAAGTGACTTTTTTTCATAGCCCTGATGCAACATTTTGAAAAGAGAAAAGAACATTCATGCTTTTGTATTTCTGAGGGGGTGGAAAAAAATTACTAATTATATTTATTGAAAACAACCATGCTTTTAGCTATCTGAGCTGTAAACTTCCGTGCGTCTACTAGACGCCAGGATCTATACTTTTAAAATATTTTTAGTAATAACTGCAGGACTTTTTTTTTCTTCTGGAATTGTAATTTTTTGTTTATTTTTATAAAAAAGTTCATTTGCAAATATCTTGTAAGACAGATGTGTGGTGTTGATAAATTCCAGTAGTATGCTTGTGAATGTTGCAGGCAGATTTGTTAAATACAGGCGTTAAAAACCACCGTTCATTTTGGCAGTGTCTTAGTTACAGGATTTTTTGCTCTTTTTTTTTTAATGTAGATGAAGGAAATGTTGACATTTTATTCAGTACTGATGATCTTGGCTTTTCTGATGCCTTTATTCAACGGATCAGAATTTCACCAGATCAGAGATACATGGCCATCAGCTTAAAAAGTGAAAGTTCTGAAGAGGCAACCTGCGTTATTATGAAACTTGGTCATTTTCCTGTTGTGAAAAAAGTAATTCCAAGCGTATTTAGCTTTGGTAAGTTGCTTATAAATATCCTGTGGATCAAACCAGCTTTTAACACAACATTTTTCTTAGTCTACAAATAATATTAAAATTTTTTTTTAAAAAAAGTAGGCAGCATTTAATCCTATAGCTGTCGAATTGTTTCTTATTTACGATTTCTTTCAGACTACACAATTACAAGTTATCTGGTGTGAGTGAAAGGGGCTGCTTTCTTGATACAAATTTTCCTTCATTGTATAAGTAATAATTTATACATGTTAGAACAGTCATGCATATATTTTTTTCTATTGAATTCAATATGCTGCTTTAAAAATTTACTGACATAACTGTTTGTGATATAAAGATTTTTTTGAGAAATGTTCTAGTTGATAAACTATTACAGCTACAAGTGAAGTCATTGATAGCTGTAGACAATTGGCTTTGCTGGAAGAGTGTGCAAGTACTGCCTACTGTTGGGTATTGCCTGGAATTTCAACTGGAGTCTCCGATGTGGATCCCAGTTCAAAGCCCAGTGAAGTCAGCCAGTCTTTCAGAATACATTACAGACCTTTACCTTGCTGTTAAAATAAGCAAAGGTAAACTGAAGTGAATGGGAAATCTTCCTTTTTATAGTATGTTAAAGAATATAGTAGAAAGAGTATAACAGTATGTATACAGCATTCCACATCTTGTATTTTGGGTTATATTGTTGGATGTCATCAAATTTATATAGTACAGTAAGCAATTTGCCTGGGCAGGGCAGAAAACTAAAATCTAGGTAAAACTTCGTAGTTATAAAATTGAAGAGTAGCAAGAATTTAGTGTTGTGTTTGCACAACAGAAGATTAAAATGCCTGTTGAAAACTAAGCCTGCAAACTTGCCAAAGACGTTTTACTCTATACTTGATTTGAACATCTGTCTAGGTCCAGAAGAATCTGGACCAACAGGTCCACAATAGGTGTAGCAGATAATAAGAGTACAAAAGATGACTATCAGAATTGTAGAGATTACAGTCATTTTGTAAATTTAGTCAGGTGTGAGTGAGGTACAGACGTGTCATGAAGTACAGAGGCGCATCAATCATGAGCAAGAGAATTAGATCATATTACCACTTGCAAAGTATGTGCTTGTGTTGAGAGAGCTGCAATAGCAGGGAGAGAAACAGAAGTTCTTGAAAATGTACATCTTGGTTTCTTAAATGCTAGGCTATAGAAGAACTTGGATTTCCCTTCTAAAGGCTTGTCTTCATTGTGAACCCTCAGCTACCTGTGTCCTTCAGAGCCACATTGCTTTTCAGATAGCAAATTGTATGTGTTACTTCAGTGTGGTCCTTCCTCAGGTTTTGTATTGAAAATTAATACTTATATATAAAGCACCATACAATAACTTTTTAAAGCATAAGTGTTAAACATCATTCTGGTGGCTGCAGGAGCAATAGAGAGAGCAGTAATGTGGCTGGATCAGTCAGATTGCTGAACTTCAGAACAACAAGGTTGCTGTATTTGTACATCTCTAATGCTGGTGAACACATATACAGGCATAGAAAACTGGAGAATTTTTATCTCAGCAGTACCCACAGGGCACATGTATCATCTCTTTTCTCTGAATCATTTGTGTGCAGTCACATTCAGCAGTGCAGAGCTTATGCTGCCTTTATTATCTCGCTGACTCCATGTAAACCTCTGTTTCTCTGTTCAGTTTTAAACAGCCATATCTTGTATTTTCCTGTGACCTCCAGAACCCCCACAGGGTCAAGAGCTTCCTGTTACTGGGCCCCATAATATTGTCCTCTGCCTTTTTTTTTTTCAATATGTTGTGAGATTCTTGTTGTGTGGTGTTCAAAGAAACCATGGGGAAAAGGTTTCTGTAGCTTACCCCAGTCCCTGCAGGATGTAGAAGTGCTGTCCTCAGTTCATGTCAGCTGCAGCCCACCATTTACAGCATTGGGTCCAATGTCCATGAACTCCATTTTCTCTCAGTAATAGTATACACTGTTCCAAATTTGATATGCATTTGTCTTTTTTTCCAGAATGGGCTACAAGTGATGTTCTGTATTACACAACTCAGAAGAACCTTAAATGCCAGAATGTGTTTATGACCACTTTCACTAATCAGCAACATACTAAGTTAGTTTATACAGAACAAGATGCAAGGTAATACTTACCTAAAAATATAACAAGTCCTTTATGTATTTTAGAGTGTTTTATATGTAAAATATAACTGGTTCAGAAAACAAAGTGTTCCATATCATATTTCAAATGGTAAAATGCATTTTTAAGTTGTGTTCCATTGTCAGTAGTGCCTTATACAGTCTGTGAATGTGCTCTGTTCTCCTTTTGATATGTGATCAACAGAGATTTAACTTTCCTCTCTTACCTCACGAGTTCAATTGAGTTTATAAATGTCAAGGTCACTCTCAGGTCAGGGTGTCCTTTAATGAATGTGTGACAGTTTCATACAGGGTAAATCAGACAGTAGATTTCATTTTGTTTTCTCTGCTATTGATGTCTGATACATCTTTAAAAAAAACACAGAAGTTCAGGCTAATCTTTGCTCTGGGTAATGGATGAGGAAAATCATTACAGCATTCCCAGAGATAGAACTATTGTTGACTGAATACCCTCTCAATAACCTTTCTTTAAGCAGTGGTTTAGGAAGACAAGAAGGCTCTTTGCTAAACTGAGTGCAGAACTAGTTTTTCAACCATGCGGAGTGTGGTAGATTTATACAGCATTCCATAAATGTTTGTGATTATTCTTAATTCAAGTTACATATTCAATAAAGAAATTTCAATTACACTTTCATCTGCAATTGAAATGGAGTAAATAAGATCCTTTTATTCCAGCTGCATTTGATGCGTAGTTTTGGAAATCAAGTTCCACTGACCTGACTCTTCCCCACAGGGAAACTGTTGCCATAATTCTGAAGGTCACAGTCATTACAGTAAATCTACTAGAAACTTACTCTAAAGGGTCATGTGCTATTGCAGCTCATAGCTGAACTCACTTCTTCATCTGAGATGGCAAGACATTCTTTTGTACTGCCACTGAGCAGTTCCACTCTACATCTCACCAGCTCTTCTATTGCAATCAAGTATATTTTTTAGAAGTGGAAAATTTCTTTACTTCCTTAAAAAATAAAAGCTACAAAGATTAAAAAAAATGGCATATCAAGGTCAGAGGCCTTGGGGAGAAGTGTAACCTGCATTTCAGCTTGACCCTCTTAGAGGTAAGGGTCAGCGGAGCTGAACTGTTGGAATCTCTACTGAATGCAGTGCCACATTCCTGCCAAATTCATGGCTATTAGAGAGGCAGGAAGCTGATTTCTTGTAGACTTTAGATCCCTCTCTGTGCCTGTTCTCCTAAAGATGTCAAGAGGGTGCAATTAGAGGAAACAATAGTACCAAAAAATTGGAGTTCTCCACCTGCAAATAATTAAAGGCACTGAAAATGCTATCTAAAACATCCTTTCCTTCACCGGTCAAATATTCTGAATTCTAGAGATATCATTATTGCAGTCATGTATCTGATCTGTTTGATGCCAGTTATGGTACTCAGTTTCGGGGTGAAATTTGGATCTTTGTGCTGGAGAGCTTTCCTTTTATAGACATCCGGCTTTAAAGACTCAAAATGCCAAAGAAACTGCAGTATCTCAAGATACGACATTTCAGTTAATTAGAATGACTCACAGACAAAACCACGACAAATTTGAATCTGAATTTCAGCCTGAACTTCTCTAATACTAGTGTGCAGTCAGTGGTTATCATTGTTTTCTGTTTCAAAATTTTAGAGGCATTTAAAACCAGTAGATAATTCCTGGTTTCTCAGACAGTTCCAAAACCAGTTCCTAGTTTCCAGCTTTATCACTGCAACACTGTCCATCTTCTGTCATTTTTTTTAAATAGTATTTTTTGTCTTACTTGCTTCAACATTATGTCAGTAGCACATAGACATTTTAGCAATTTATCTGTATAATAGCTCTTTTGTTATTGGTTCCCACATGATGTCCTTTATTAATCTTAATGTAATTATCTATTACTATTTTTAAAAAACTAGAATTACAAGCTCAATAAAAAGTTCTTCATTTTGCCTGAATTTTAAAGCCTATATAGATCAATAAGCTTCCAGTCCACCTCAGTGATGCAGAAACCTGAATTCAGTTGGGCAGCAACTGAAATGCTTTCCTTGCAGATTTCAGGTTCCACACACAAGATTGCAGGTTTTTGAATCCCAGGATAAATGCAACAGAAGTGGGTTTGGGAGTCAGGTAGCCTGAAATTTCTCCAGCCTACTCAGAGGCATGTTGTTTCTTACCTTGCAGGTGGAAGCCCATGATTCTGACACAACATGCATTTTTGAAATACTAATCAAATTTAGGCTCTCTCTTTTTTTTTTTTTTTCCTAATTATTCCCTACAGATTCTTTGTGGACATTTATCTCACAAAAGACAGGCGCTTTCTCACTATCAACAGCAACAGCAAGACAACCTCAGAAGTCTGGCTGGTTGACTGTAGAAATCCTTTTGAGTCACCTGCTCTTGTACAAGCACGAACAAAAGGGGTCATTTACCACATCGAGCATAGAAATGACGAGTTATATATTCTTACTACATATGGAGAACCTGCAGAATATAAGGTAATTCTAACTGATAATTAGAGTCATAGGATTCAGTCAGATCCCTACTGCAGATCATATAGAAATAGTAAGGCTGAATTTTCATTTTGTGCTTCACAGCTTACCAAAATAATTTGAGAATTACACAGAGAGCCATATGGATTGAAAGACTGATAGGACAGGAAGTCTTGCCTGTAGCATGCCAGTTTGATTCTAACTCCTTTGACAGCATCAAGAAATGAGTATGCTTTAACAGTCATTTCCCCTATATTAAAATTTAAGTTGGTGATCTCAGTCTATATAATCAACCTACCTACAGTTCTGCTGGCCATGCTGAAAGCACTTGCTGCATTAAAATCTTTAGATTTAAAATCTATAGATCAATCTTTGAGACTTGATCTTCTTCAAATGTTACTGAATTGTTCTTCCATTTTGCCTAAGTAAAGGGAGTTTAAAAATCTCCAGTTTTAGTCAGGCAAACACCCCCAGTACAAATCAGGTGGTTTTTTTCAATAAAAACATTGTATGAGATCACCGATATGCCTGTACCTCTCATTTGTAACTCTTATTATCACTCATTAATACAAGGTGGTTTATTTTCTTTTTATAGTTGATGAAGGCACCAGTAGCTTCCAGCAGCAAGGAGAACTGGCAGTTAGTTTATGCACTGGAAAAGAAAACAAAGCTAGTAGACTTTGAGATGTTCAGTGATGACTGTATTATGTTCCTGAAGAACGCTGGTCATCTTTATCTAAATGTGATTTCTTTTGTTTCACACTCAGTTCAGTCAATAAAGGTACGTTTTAGTTTGGCTTAAGCAGCATATTTTTCCAGCACTATCTCCTTTTTTTTAACATAGCATTATAACGAAAGCAAAGATAAATTCCAAAAGTAAAAGTGGTTTGAAAACTACAATAGAGCAAAGTTTGTCATTATGACTAATTGTATTTACCTGTGGCTGTTCTTTGGGATTTCATGTGGTGGCTTATTGCAGCATTTAGAAAGTTAAAGAGCAGCTCTCTAATGAGTCAGTTCTTCAACATACTTCAGTCAGGCTCTTTACAACACAGATGATTTCTTATGTAAAATGGGACTGGATTCCCTAAACACTCTACTTAGTTCTACTGGGCCTATTTTTGGTTACGTGCATTGGTGCAAGGAAGGAAGTAAGCCTGGCCCTCGCACAGAAAAAAGATTAGAACGTTCAGAAGACACTGTGCCATAATAAATGGGAAGAGGTGACATTGCAGGACAATTGGTGCAAAGTATTTCTTCTCAAGTTCTGGCTAAATACTTGAGGATTAAAACCCAAGTGACTCAATTCAAACCCATGATTTCTGGAGACCATTCAGACAAAATAATTAATTGATTTGTTTGCCTGAAAAATACAATCTGAACTACTTAGAAGTCTGTTGCAACAAGCTGCCAATGCTGCATTCTATAAAACTGCAATGGAAAAAGGTTTTCAAGAAAGTACACTGTATGGTCTCCAAAATCTTCATTTTTTAAAATGATCACAGTTTATTTATTCAGAAAGGGTCTGCAGTTACTCAGGAGAACTTGGACTTCTGCTGCCATTTCAGAAGTCTCTAGCAACTTAACCCGAGTAAGTAATGGTCTGGCAAAGGGTTTGGCTATGTCCCTGCTGCTCTCAAAGAATGAATCTTGATTTCTTTCATTCTTAGCAGAGTTAAAAACCTTAAATATAATAACAGTAAGTGTCTGAGGGTGAATGTGCCAGAAAGAGGTTTTGTTCTTCACAATGGCTGGCACCAGGAACAAAGTTAAGAGGCAGGGGTTTTCAGCGGCTAGGCATTACTGAGCTAACTCGCAGTAAAAGCATAACAGCTGTCATGGACTTGGCTGTATAACATGTTGAAGTAGAACTGGAAATGCGATGAGAAATAGAGTCTAAAAAATAAAAACCAATGAGGAATGATTTCAAATAATGTTTCAGTTTAAAAAAAAAAAAAAAACACCAGAATCTGCATTAATGCCCATTTTAAACTGAATTTGAATTTGGTTTTCTTTTTTATTTCATTGTTGAACTTCATCCAATGGCCTCAGGAAAAGTTCACCAAAGTCTTTCTCTTTTTGACTCTTTCACGACTGAATTGAAAAGAAACACAGATTGTGCTACCTACAAACTGAAGATAATTAGTTAATATCCAAAGCCTTTTCCTCTGAAGGACACACTAAGCAAAATTTTCAGCAGCAGTGTAAGGGTCTCACTTGAAATGCCGTGTTTTCTCAGCTACCTACGTGGGCCTGTGAATTTGAATTGGAATCTCATCCTGAACATACCACCAGCACTTGCTATTTTCAGCTGTCCTCCCCAGTACACCCCCCTAAACGTTTTGCATATTCATTTAAAGAAAATAATCTCATTGAACAAGCTGTGCAAGAGGTACCAATTATTACGAATTGTCACACTACACGTTTACTAGCTAAAAGCAAGGTAAGAGTTTTTTCAGTCCTTTCCTTTTCCTTTTATTCTTTCCTTCCTCCCCACCCATTTAAAGAAAGTGCATTTGGCAGGGAATAGAGATTAAAAAATGTAAAGAGCAGTTGGTGCTATAGTTACTAAACAGTGGGTGTTTTCTTCAGTGCTATAGAGAAGAACAAGAAAGAGTCGTGATTTTTTTTTCCATTAACCTGGGTACGCCAGAGGAGATAACAGCATACGATGAGTCAAGGATCTTAGTATGGTATAAGTTAGAATTGCTGGTTGATGCACGGTATTGTACTCTGTATAATAAATGAAAAAGATGCTCTGTTGAAAAGAGCTCCCCACAACCAGCTGCACGATCAAGAAGGGAGAGTTTTAACAGCCTGGGTTTTAAAATTTGGAGATGTTAATAAAGAGTTTGTACTGTGGTAAGTGGTAAACTATTTTGTTAATAACATATATTCTTGGTGTTAGAGGGGGAAGGAAGACTCGGGTGCTTTGGTAGTTTAAAAACTCCTCAGGTGTTGCACTTAAATGAATTTATACTCTGCCCACACAGCAGAGGTTCAGTCTCATGCTTTATTTTTCAAGAGTGCTTTGAATATTCTAAGTGAAAAAAAATTACTGTAATCAAAAAAAACACATTTTAAAATAAATAATTGAAGTTTTCATTGCCATGTGTCATTGAGATTTCTGCAGTGTCCCTTATTGTAAAAATACTCCTTTTCCAGGATGAAACTTCGGTGCCAATTACAGTTTTTCATAATATGAATTCTAAAGAACTACACAGGAAACCACTTCTAGTTCATGTATATGGAGCTTATGGCATAGATTTGAACATGAGCTTTAAAGAAGAGAAGCTGATGTTAATTGAAGAGGGTTGGATATTAGCATATTGCCATGTTAGGTAAGTCAAATATAAAAAGGAATTAAGATTTTAATCTGTGGGATATACAGGTATTTCTTGATGAGCAACTGAAGATGTAGAAAAATATTTCATGTAGCTATATGTAATTATTCATCTCTCTATTCATCTATTCATCTCTAGATTTCTTAAATAGTTTGTAACGTAAATTTACCTCAGGGAAAAAGAAGACGAGCACATCCTGCATTTAGGTTTCTTAGATGTGCAGGATGGCTGTACGTAACTTGCAATCGTTTGAAGTCTCATTACCTCTTGTCCCATCTTTGCTCAACAAAAATGCTGACAACATGTTCAAATTGCAGTGACATGTTACCTCCCCCTCTTTCTGAGGGCACTGTGTGCTAGTGATCAGTCTGTGTCTTCTGAAAACCATTTGCCTTCTACACAGCAATAACTAAGCATTTAACCCACATCTCCTGGTCTTTTATTGGCTAAGTCCTCTGTCTCCAGTTTAGCTACACTTCTACCAGTTTTCTAAAACCAGCATGTGCAATAGGTTTGACATTTTCAGGGAGGTAAGCAGGTAAGGAAGACAACAAAAGAATCACTTTAGGGGAGGGGAAGGAAGGAGGGGAAATGCGTAATTGTTTGAAATACCAGTCCCAAAACAAATTCAGCATACAAACATATCTGCTGTACTCAGTGGCAAGCACTGTGCTGTTGTTCCTCCTGCCCCCGAAGTATCTTAAGATGCAAGTCAGTCTTAGATGAAGATGGATTCTTCATCCAAAGATGGCAGACTAATCAGTTAATTAATTTTAAACTTGAAACCAGAAAAGGAGGCTTCAGGTGGCTTAGAACCAAAATTGTGGTTGTGTAGAAATAAATATAAATTCATTCTATAATCCTGTATTACAAAATAAAACATTTCAAGTAGTATTTGAAATTCAAAAACTAGGGGGAAGAAAACCCCAAACCCACCTTTCTAACAGTCTCAGAATTTAAGCTATGCAGAAGACAAATAGTGAGAGTCTGATGTGGAACTGAGACATACTGTTTTACTGTTTTTAATAAATGCTAGTGTTCGTGATGTAAATATTGAAAATGTTTTACATGTTCTAATAGTTTCTTGGATAGAAAGATAATATTGTCTGATTTTGTATTGCCTACAAGGACAGAGTCCTAAAGTGGTGCTTTCCCTGTGAGTTCCAGGACACAAGCACACAAGGGCACAGAGTGCCCTTACAAGAGTTAGTATTTTCACCAATCATCATAGATGGATTTATTTTGTCTTCATGTTGTGTCTTTTAGCCATAAATGAGGGTAAAGATAAAAACAGAGAAAATAAGAGTTAATTAGGAAGGCAAATTATGATTTTGCAACTCTTTGCTGCTCTTTCATTACCTGAAGCTTTGCCGTGAATTATTTTCCAAAGAGACTCAAACTTGAATTTCTTTAAATTTCAGGGGTGGAGGAGAGCTGGGCCTTAGCTGGCACAAAGATGGATGTCAGCATAATAAGCTCAAAGGTCTCTATGACCTGAAGGCTTGCATCATGCTGCTGCACAAACTGGGGTTTTCTCAGCCTAAACACACAGCACTGGCAGCTGCCAGTGCTGGAGGAGTTCTTGCAGGAGCCCTGTGCAACAGTGATCCAGGACTGGTCAGAGCCATGGTTTTACAGGTGAGGTGCTGCAGACCTTTTATGGATTATAACATTAGGCTGTATTTTCTGTTTCGTTCTACCAGTTTCTGAACTCTAAACATTCCAATTCAAAATTCACTTTGCTCTTTTGTTTGAGAACACATTGACTCACCATTCAAGGTCCCCTGTCCTATTTGCCAACTTTTTTTTCTTTTAATGACTTCTAAGGCTCCTTTTGTAGATGTTCTAAATACAATGATGAAAACTCATCTCCCACTGACAATTGAGGAACAAGAAGAATGGGGAAATCCATTAGAAGATGAAAAATGTATGAAGTATATCAAAAGCTATTGTCCATACCAGAATATTAAGCCACAGGTAAAACTATGCTTTCTGTGTGGAATACTACAGTAATAAAGTGTAGTATTGACAACTTTTTGTGGAAAACAAAAACTGGATAACAAATTTAAAAAAAACTCCAATATGAATTATTTCAGTAATAATCTTAGCAATATTTGGAGTCACAAGTGACTACTGAGATTAACCGAATGCCTTGTCCTAAATAATCAGTGTATTTCAAAACATGCTTTTTAGGACTCCCAGGAAGTAACAGATTACTCAGTGGTATAACAAACCTCAACATGCAAAATATCTTCTCCTTTTGTGGGGGCTTTCTGTTGTTTACTGGGTTTTGCAGACTTTGTCACAGAAGGAAGGCAGTATTTTCAACTGATTTAATACCTTCTGAGAGGCAAACACCAAAATGGAAAAGGAGCTATAGCTTTGACATTGTCATCTTAGGGGAAATCTTTCTTTATTTGAAATAATGTGTTAGCTGTGTTGCATAAATTCATTAAGTAAAATCTTACTATTTAAAACCAACTTTTTCTGTGCAGAAAGATAGCAAGATTAAAGCTCAGCTATTGATCTAAGGTGAACCATTCCATGACTACTACTCCCTTTTTTTTTTTTTTTGCAATTATCAGACTTTTGCCAGTGGGAGGAGGATGTTTTTGATGACCTTTTGAGTAGATAATACCCTACTATGAAGTCATACTTCAGACCAAAATGGTTTTTTGCAGTTAGTGATAAAAGTGAGAGTTTTAAAGTAATTATGTAATACATGTTTTTAGATAAAGCCTAATGAGTTGTACAGTAAGAAAAAAATTTGTTACTCTGTGAGAAAAAACAATTGTCAAGTATTTAACTGATTTTTGGTTTTTAATCTCAGTGTTATCCTTCAGTTTTTATCACGGCCTATGAAAATGATCAACGGATACCACTAACAGGAGTCTTACAATATGTTCAGAAACTCAGGAAGGCTGCACTAGATCATGCCAGCAGAACAAATAAGAAAGGTAAGGATAAGAATATTACACATAAATGGAGTTGATTAAACCAAACGTTAATAGTCATGTAATTAAACACCATAGAGATTGACTCCTCCTTAAATGAATTCATTTGTACAACACAATCCCATATTTTTAGCTCCCCAACAGGCTCCGAGATGCAAAAAAATATAAGACTGGGAGCACACGAGTGGGGCTCACTCTTCCTTAGCCCTCAACATACGGCAGCTGTTGGGTGGTGCAAGGTGAACCCTTACCATCAGTCCAGCTACCAACAGGCCAGACTGCAGTTCTCAGCAACACTTGGATAAAATCTTACCTTTGCTGCTCTACTAAAAACTACTTTTCTCACTTTGGTAAAGCTGCAGGTCTTAACCCAAGGCAGAATGACAGCAAGGCCAAGGCACAGGTGCTTTTATACCTGAAATTTAACACTAGCTTTGAGACACTTTACAGCAAAAGGTACATTCAAACCTTACCATTTTCTAGTACTGTCTCATCTGGGGAGAGGTTTTTACCATCAGCATCAAAAGAGATCTTGAATAACTTTTCTAAATTTCATTATGGCAGGTATCTGCAAGCAGCACAACTGTGATGGTTGAGAAATTACAGCAGATGCTGCAGTTGCTGTTGCGGTCTTTGCTCAAAGAAAAAAACACGTCTTTCCAAAAATACTCAGAGAGTACAAACACACTAAATAGATAAATATTTTCCAAACATGCAATTAATAGAAATACAAATAATTCATTCAGAAAACCCTTATATTATCCCTTTTTTCTCCTTTTTTAAGGAATAATAGGAATTCTGTCAGGACTGAAGGCAGAATTATCTATACCGCAACTCACATCTCCACTTACCTTTTTCATTGTTCATTCAATGTAAAGTGATCACTAGCTTCATTGTTCCAGGAGATTGGATTCCTAATATCATCTTAGATGTCCAGGCAAATGGCAGCCATTGTGATTCATCGTGGGAGCACTCAGTGAGTGAGGTATGTTCCCTTTATTGTACGTGTCCATGACGTGTTGGAGGGAGGTGTCCCCTCAACTGATACTTCAGCTTCAGTAGTCATGCAGTCACTGATTGTATGTTTAAAGTATAAAAAAGAAAAACTCCAAGAGCAACTGCTGGTTTTATATATATATAACACAGCAATTCATATCTATAATTATATATATTTATCAATATATATACTTATATAGATAGAAAAGAGACAGTGACAGGGCCAGATTATTGAAACAGCCTCAAAACAGTTTTCAATTCCCACTGTAATGTGTTGAGAGCATTGAATGAAAGGTTCTAAGTTGGGCAAAACATTATTCCAGCAGGAAGAGTCTTGCACCGTAGAGTATTAAGTGCTTAAAATTGTCATACTATTTACTTCCATCTTCCTCACGTGTAAAACATATGATGGGTTTGATCTTTACGTTTTGAAATGCATGATCTATCAAAGCTCTTACAATTAGCTTTCCAGATTCTGCACTTTATAGAAGTGTGTGTGTGTTAAGAGCAACACAGAATATTGTTTTTGACGTCTGAGACTGTCACAGTTGGATACAAATTTTATTACTGTTATTTTGAACAAATCCTAGCAAATGTTAAGTTGGTGGTTGTGGCGGTAACTCCCAAAATGAATTCTTTCAGGAAGAGCGTCATTCTGTCTTAGGGCAAGATATTTCTTAGCATTAGTCTAGGAAAGGAAGATTAGGATAGCTGCACAAGAGCCTGAAGGTTTATAGTGCAAACAATTTTACTTACGTAATTAAATATTTTCATTATTTTAGGTCGCAAGACACCTTGCTTTTCTGAACAAAGAACTTGAGGAAGCATGCCATCTCCAACATCATAGCAAATCCTGCAAATAGCTAATAAACACAATGACCACCTGAAGAACTTCAGGTCGGATTTTTGTTTGTATGGAAAGCAGACACCCTCTCCAGAGGATCTCTGCTCCTGGATCCCTGCTTTATGGGCATAAGCACACAAAGCTGGGTGTGGCATTGGCTAATAAACAGTACAGACCAAGAACTGAATTCCTCTGCTGCCTGGTGGTACAGAAGTAGCTGCCAGCATAAATCAGTTTGTTCAGTAAGTCCTGTTCACAGAAGCCAGCGGTGCAGCCCCACACGAGCAGAGCTGAGCACGACTGGCACATAAAGCCTCACGTGAGTAGCACACGCACTTTGTACAGGCAGCCTCTCCATCCTAAGGGATCTTTTAAGACCACCTTTTACACAAGGCAGTAAAACTCCTAAGTAGTATTTGATGAAAAAGTCTCACTACTTTTAAAACTAATTCCCATACTTAGGTGGTGATGACTGTTGCCCTTCCTATCTACACAGCAGTCATAGTGTACTGATCATGTGGTGGGATTGATCAAATTGCAAAAAAATGGACTCTAAAGAACAGCAACTTTAGCAGAACTCTTTGATCTGAGTAGATTAAAATCTTGCAGTTACCTTAAATAGTATGGTAATCTTAAAAAGTAGGTGCCAAAGTCCCTGTGGAAGACGAAGATGAATGCTCCAGAGGATGATGCCAGAGTTTCTCCAGAGGATAAAACAAAAAGAATGCCCCCTCTGAAGCAGCCCAATTCTTAGCTTAGCTGCCCTCTAAGCAAGGCACAAACCAGCTGTGCATTGGTTGTTAAAATACATGCTTGGTGCACACTTAGGGCCCTCAGGAGGTGGAAGATGCACAGTCCACACTGTCCTCAAATCAAAACAAAGTTCCCCAGACGGACCCCTGTGCCCACAGCAGACTGCACCAAGTCAAATGCTGACTCTTCCTTTGGGCCACATCATCCACTGTAGGTGCAGCAAATGCAAATCAAAGCACAAGTGTGACAATCAGCCTCAGGTGTGACAGTTGCTTCAGCTGCTTACTCTGAAATAAAGTACACACCCCTCACCTCAGCCTTAGGGTAGGAAGAGAAGTAAGAGAATGCAAGTGTATTCTAACTCAGCAGGGAAGGGAAGAATCAATTGGAAATGCACTCCAGAGTGTAGAATTAGATATATTAGCTATATTTTGTTCTTTTTCTTACTGACTTTGAGGATAATCAGAGCTGTTAGAGTTGAGAGAAGAGGTAAGACATCACAACCATTTATATCAGTCCTGCTTGCGATTACCTGTTTTAGCAAATACAGGGCTGCCCCTTTAGAATAAGTTTCACAAATCTACAGATTTGTAAACATTTATTATGAACTGCCACAGGCTTTGGAGCTCTTAATAACCAGCAACTGTAAGGGGCAGCACCCAAAAAGCAACTGTTCTCTTTCCTCCCAAAATACCCACACTTTAACAGGACAGTTTTTTATAGGAGTGTTTACTTTTCTTCTCCACAGACCCTAAGGGGGAGTTTATACCATACTTTTTCCTTTTCATCACCACCAATTCAGATACAAGGCAATTAGGTGTCCGTTTTAGTTTTCAGGTGGTTTATTTTGTACAAAGTTTGAAAAGCCAGACAAAACTGAGTATTTTTAGCATTTCCCTGAAACCAATATCTTCCAAATTAACACAAAAGGTTAGTTATTCTACTCCTGTACTTAACAGTTCATGTAGAGTAAATTTAAGGCCATGGAATAACAAGCTTTTTCTGCCACAAAACACTTTCCTTGAAAAGCTTTCATAGTATGGACAGGCTTTGCTGTTTTATATTCGAGGACCAGACCTTCTCCCATTTCAGTTTTAATTAGTTTGGTAGAGACAGTTTTACCAGCATTGCTAAAATTAGTACTTAGCCTTATAACAGCTTCAGAGGGAAGATTAGGAACTATGGCTTTCAGGTCTATTGTCGATTCCTGCCCGAAGTTGAGGACCATCATGAAGGTTCTGTCTAACCCATCCAGTTCCCTCACGTAGACAAACACGTTACTGTCACTCCAGATGTAGCACATCCACCCCCGATTCATGGGGAGCTCGTTGTTACGAAGTTGCGTCAGTTCTCTGTACAAATTCAGGGTTGAGTTGGACCAGCTCCTCTGGATCTGCAACAGCCATAGCGTGAACAGGGTCAGTTCCTGCACTGCATGTAGGGAATGCAACTTCCCTCTAACACCCACTCAGTCCGCTGAGAACGTGCCTATTGGATTTTGACAATTATCTCGCTTCAAATTTGTCCACAAATTTCACTGGAAAACTGCTTTTTCTCATAGACTTGTGAAATGGCAGAGACACAGATTATCAGGCACAAGATTCCCCAGCACCAATGCTATTGCTTTCTCCCACAGCTTCATTTTAGCACTGTTGATTCAGGAGAAAGCTACAGCCATTCAAAGCTTGACGCTGAACCTTTTTCACTGAGTTTAATCTACTGAAGTCACAGGTTTATTTCATGTTTTATATTTTTTGATATCTTAGGTTTATTTTTCCTGTCTTCAATTCTGGTCAGCACTGTAGGTCAGCAAAATCTGTTTGATTCACTCCTCTACATATGTTAGAGACAGTCTATGTTAAGTTCTTGTTACATAGACTAAGTTCTTCTTATTTTTGTGGCAATAGAAACGTGAGGAAAATAAGACCTGTTTTCAGTTTAATATTGTCCTAGTTACAGGGGCTGGGACCAGTTGATTGCTATGTGAGTAGAACCAAAACTGTGTATTCTACACCCTCTATGTAGTTTTGGATGGACTGGTAATGATTGTTTGCAGCAGCTGCCCAGGGCACACCTGACACCTCAAGCTACGAGCTGGGTGTTAAAGAACCCCTGCAGAGGCAGGAGAGTTCTTTTGTTTTCACACCAATGACTCAGCTGTGGTAACTCCCCTCTGGAAAGGCACTAACACTTCACACACCCAGCCTGAGGGGTCATCTCTGCTAATGGGCCACTTTGAACTGGTGGCCCATGGACATCAACAGCTGCAACACCTAGACCATCAAAGATTCCAAAAATATCACATGACTCACAGAGTTAAATCATCCATTGTGAAACTCTTGACAAGACTGGAATTGTTACTTCAACAGAACTGCGACCATCATCTGGACCAACAGCTTTTCATTTCCTTTTGCTTTGCACCCAGGGAGGCCATGTGGTGCTCAGCACAGGGGCCAACAAACACTGTTCTCTTCTTGTCCCAGGGTGCTGGGTTACACATCTGTCTTTGGGGGTTAAAACCAATTTTCTCTGTATCATCATATTTATCGTAATCTTCTTAGTCAATGGTAGCTCTGACTTGTAATCTTTCGAGTTGGGTTCATTTCTCCCACCGCATTTAAACCAGCACAAATATTAAAAGGATTAAAAGGATGTTAAAGAGCCAAACTGCCACATCAACATCACAATTGCAGTTGCTCTGCTTAAGTGAATATAGATGAAGTGGTCTCCTTGCTGGTACAAGGAAGTTCTTTTCTAAAAAAAAAAAAAACTTGTGAGGATTCAGTGCTTTTTTTCCCCCTTGAGTCTGTTCTTACTGCCAATGCCCACTACTAAAAGGAATAATAGATATATTAAAATATTTTTAGACCATTAATTTGCCACACATGCAGATACCTACTTCCACATTTACACTTTCGTAGTTGGAGTTAACAGGTAACCAGCTGCTGTTGCCTTCAGTAAAACCAGCATTAGCTTTCCCGTCCCACTGCATGGGGGATTTCTCTGGAAAGGTCACCTAGAAAATAAAGTGCTGATTAAAGTATGGAAAAGGTATTTTTTGAATAGCATGTTCTTACATCTCCCAAATTCTCACCATTTCAGTATTGATTTCTTCAGTTTAAGTTAAAATTTAATAAGAATGTAATCCTGCTTCAAATCTAAGGAGAAAAGAAGCAGCAAGACAGTTCCTGAAATGGAGGGGAGTGGATGGTCTCAGATACAGCATCGCTGGGTAAAATGTGGAATTCCCAAACAACTCTACCAGAGTTGTCATCCTTTGCAGCAGATGGCTGGATAAAAGTTTACTAATGACAGCCAGGATATTCTGATAAATATCTAGATTTCCATTGAGTGAATATATGAGGAAATGAGTCCTAAGAAGGGATGCTGTTAAAATAACAGTAAACAACTAATAAATGCTGTTCAGTGTCTTGTTCTTTTGTAACCATCACACCTTTCTCCTTAGAACTCTTCAAGCTTACATTCACAAGGGATACAATTTGGACAGGATTGTTTGTGTTAGAAAGGTAAAACTATTATTTCTAAGTGCAAAACTATTGCAAGACAGCTTTTAGCTGATTAAAAACTGTCGATATAAAAAGTCTGAAGTTCTCATTTTGAAGAATTCAGAAATAATTCCGAAAAAGCTTCCTCATTGTTATTGAAGAGCTGCCAAAAGATCTGACACTTAAATTTAATGATATAAGAGGGCATAAAATATTTTGCACATACTTTGAGTGTTTGTTTTCCATGAAAACTGTTTTTCATATAAAGGGCACTTTTCAATACAATCTGTCAGAACAGCAGCCTAACAAAAGAAATTGTCACTTTGCTTTGTGACATTACAAATAATGGGTTTCTCCTTTTTAGCATATTCTGAAAAGCAGGGGGAAAAAAAAATCCTAAGTTTTCAGCACTGGTAATGCTGCCTCTCATCTTTGCTTCTTTCCAGTGTCTCCTGAAGTGTTTTAAATGCTGGGGCTAAAGACTAAATCCTGAGCAAATACTCTCCATCTTTCAAAGACACCCAGTAATCAGGGAACCTTCCTCTCCAGAGGGAGTGAAGGGTGGGTTTGCATTGTTCCAAAGCTGTGACCCACAGGGTAGTCACTAAAAGAGAGTGAACCCTGAGGAGCCAAAGGCGAATGAACCACTTTTCTGAAGAGAATCGTTCTGTCGGCAGTAATCAGCAGCGGCAAGAAAATGCAGGAGTCTGACCTAGGTGTTTCTCAGATGAAATGAGATTTCCTTTTAAATTGGAGAGTCATTCCCTCACATCTGAATCAGACAAACCTGGAGATGATCCTGTGCTTCAAGTACCTCTCTCCCTTTGATACAACACCATTTGTAACATGTCAGAGGCTGTCTCATTCCCTAACAGAGGCTTTCCGCAGTGAAACCAGCATCTGCCACAGGACCACATTGTCATGGTGCTCAAAAGTGGTCATGAGAGGCAGAAGTGAGCTGTTCCCTTTAGGAACAGGCTATGCATGACAACCAAAAGTCACTTCTGCTTGCCACCAGGCACCCTCCCCTTTGTGCAGATCCCTTCTTCACCACTGCAAACCATGCAAGACTGATCTGGAGAAGGACAGAAATCAGGAACCGTAATTGAAATCTAGCAGTTCAAACCCACACCCAGGCCTTGGTTCTGATCTCTGACCTGGCCATTTGTGCGTGTGATCCAATGGTTTTGCAACGAGGAACATGGAAAACTAACTAAGCAGTGAAAGAGACTGGGTTTGGTTAATGAAACAAAAGTTCCTGGGTTTTTGAAAGTTCTGTTACTTGGAACTAAACAATAGGATCGGAGTTCACGTGCTCTTCACTTACATTTTCCGATGCAATATTCTCCATGCCTATTTCTTCACCATAGTAAGTTACAGGAGTACCAGGCAGGGTTAAAAGCAGAATATTCATAACATTGACATACTCCTTCCCAATCCGAGATGAAATCCGAGCAGCATTAGGGCTTCCAGCCTGAAGAAAAAAAATCCCTCTGTTAAATATACATTATAAAATTTCATGCATATGTAACATTGATTAACTAATTTTAACATTGGAGTAGATTATTTTTTTCTTCTATTTCTTTCCCCTCCAGGGCTGTGAGGTGCTTTATCCTTATCTTGATGCCATTACAAACTTCTGTCCCAAATAGTGTAGTACCCAGAAGTCCTGCCAGCACCACAAGGCAGAAGTGATGGAGAGATAACAAGTAACAACTCTCCACAATGACAGTCCCTCGGATTTCTGCTGTTTTCTCTGCTGTGTGAAAACTGCTCTGCTTGTTTTGAAAAGATGCCTTACACATTCCGAACGTGCTCCCTAACAAAGACGTGCAGGTTTTAAGTTAACTGCCCTCAGCTGCCTGCTCCGTTCTGCTCTGGCCCCAGGAGGGTTCCAGAATCCATTGCAGTGAGTCAGTTTATGGTCAAAGATAATTATACTGATTCCATTCTCACTAGTCTTTTAACCCAGTGCCCATCCCACACTGGAGACACTGAGGGAGAGGCATGGTCATAAATTCCTTTCTGTCACCATTGCATGGGGAGTGTAATTGTTATTGATGGGCAGGAGAGCCGGCCGGTCCAATGACCGCAACTGCAGCAGCTCAGAGCTTTCACATGGATAGCAACTACAGCCCAGCGCCGGGCTTAGGCTGCTGCTGATCCCTCTGAAATCAGTGTGTGTGTCTGTGGGGTGGGCATTCTATCACCATAACAGGAACAAGCCCTTCCTGGAAGAGTCAGTCTAGAACTTACAGCCCAGTTTGGCCATTTTCCCACAGGCATGTTTTTCATCCACAAGTCAACAGCTTCAAAAATACTGTTGCCTGACAGATTTTTCATGTTCATTAGGTTGAAATTCAAGGGAAAATCTGCTTCTTGGATGAAAGCTGTTCCATAATACATCATTGTTGCTTCAATGTCTTCCTTTTCATCATCACCAGAACCCATAAATCTACGGATAAGTACACAAATATCTTTTTTGGCTCATTCTTGGTTGCACAGAAGAGAAGGAAGCTAGAAATGGTTGGATATAGAACATTAAGTATTACAATCCCTTCCCTCCTCCCCATCGAAAAAAGATTAATACAGAAAAATAGTGTTTTGTAAAGCAGAGAAGGAGTCAAGGAGAAACATTTCTTGGAAATTGCAGATGAAAAATCTACAACAGTCAACACAAGGCTAAAGTATCTGACTGAAATCTTATCTTTCTGGATTCACATCCACACAGTCCATTCCAGCAATTTCCAGCTTTCCTTCACAGAACAGGACCTGGTGGGCCCCCAAGTTGACCATGAACCATCAATGTGCCCTTGAAGGTGGCTTAGGGTATCCTGGGCTGCATTAGAAGTTGCGTTGCCAGAAGGTGGAGGGAGGTGATTCTCCCCCTCTACTTGTCACTGGTGAGGCCACGCTTGGAACACCACGTCCAGTTCTGGGCTCCCCGGTACAGAGAGACATGGACATACTGGAGAGAGCCCAGCAAGAACCCACTAAGTCCATTAGGGACTGAAAGGTCTCTCCTTTGAGGAAAGGCTCCTTGTAGTAAAAGGTGGAGTTTCCATTCCTGGAGATGTTCAAAAGTCATCTGGACAAATTCCTGGGCAACCAACTCTAGGTGGCTCTAATGAGCAGGGGCTCTGGACAGAGCACCTCCAGAGGTCCTTTCCAAATTCAGCCATTCTGTGACTTTAACAATCTCTGTGTGCCTGACTTGAACTGCACTATGAAAACTATACAGTAGAGCAGGCACAGGGTTGATTAATTACAGAGTCTCTGTGATCAGAATGGTTGCCCATTCTGCTTAGTCTTGTACAGTCCATAGATTGAGCAGAGCTAACAGGACCAACTCCTTTCCTTTCCTCACACACTGGGGAAGAGTTAATGTAGCCTATGCCCCACTATTTGCATTTGAGGATTTGCGCATTTTTGTGGCGTATTATATTAAAAAAACCCCAACATTTCATTGCTCTCAGGAGGTGATGAATATTGGAGAAAAATTCATCAGGTGTAATAATGATTACCTGTATCGACCAGGCTCTCTGCTGAACTGATTCATGGTCTGACGGAAGCTACGGACGATGTCGTGCATACCAACCTGTGTGGTCGTGTAGTCATGGTAGAGCTGAGAATAGGCTGTGATAGTCTCCTTAAAGAAGGACAGAGTATTTCCCATTAGTTCACCAGTATTTTAGATTTCACAACTCTCCGAATTCTTCCCATCCCTTCCTGAGACAGTGTATCAGTCCACATAGATTTTAACTGAAATTTCAGGATATTAACCCTAACAGTGCAGAGCTGAGCTGCACCTGAGAAACTCTAAAGATACAACAGCAGAAGGCTGATTAGTTTGGGTCCCATCCTCCAGGAGGGGAGCACTAACCAACTGAGCCCATCTGCAGCAGCGAGCACAGCAGGTGCTGTGGCCACACATCGGGCTGGAAAGAGGGACAGTGCCTTGATAAGGTACCACAACAGCAACACTTGCGGAGCTGACCAGTTTGATGTGATCCTCACCTCCACAGGGAAACAGCATTTTCATACTGAAACTATCTGGGAACATCACCAAGTTCACTACCACAGCAAAAGCAAATAGCGTAAGTAACAGTGTTCATGCTTTTGAGTGTGTCTGCCCATCTCTCCCTGTGACATACTGCCAATAGGAGGGGTTTTCTTTTATTTTTTTCTCCAATTCTTACTTGCAATGTAGAGGAAATACATGGTAGTAACTACTACAGAATCCCAAGCAGGCAAGATTTCTGACCTCACCTCTGGTAGTGAGCTCCCCAAAGACAACCAATCAACTACTAAAAATCACAAGATTGGGCTTTTTAGAATGTGAATTGAAAAGCAAATTACTTTAAAGAGAAAATTCAAAGCAATGGTGCCAGAACAGAAAAACAAAGCGTATATGGGCAATTCTTCCACCCACAGAGCTCCTGCTTGCAGGTATCTCACTGACCACCTACAGCCTCAGCCCAGCAGGCTTCTGTCTTGTGAGTGCCCACCCACTTTCCAAGGGACATGGCTGACCCCGTTTTCCTACAGCCACAATTAAGACCCAAAAGAGTAAAAACATACACTCTCTTGTCTCCATAGGAAATACAAGAAAAAAAGCAAAGATGGAACATATACATTACTCCATTCTGAGACTTGTTCACTTGAGGCTCATCTCGGAGGTGCGTTGCTTCTAAGAGAAATTTAAGAGTGCTGAAACTAAATCCATCAATCCCTTTGTTGAGCCAAAATTTTATAATATCCTAGACAAAGGCAAAAATTGAGAAGTTCAAGTGAGCCCACACCATTCGAAACAGCATACTCTGAGAAAGAAAGCTAAACCTTCTAAAAAGTATTAATATGTAACAATTTCTCTTTTAATTGGTACCTCACATTTTTCAGGAAGTCAAAATGAATCATGTTGATCTAATGTCAAATAAGATCTAAACAAAGTATGTCTTATTATTTCATCCAGTATAAAAAAGAAAATGACTGGTCTCTAATTTCTCCCATCATTCAGGAGGCCTAAACCAGGGCATGACTTGCTAAAAGACGTCTCTAATCTCATCCATCAAAACAACTGGGCTCATGCTAAGCGCTGTTGTTGGTGAATACTCGTTCATGGCTGCACACAATTAGAACACATTGATTCAAATATGCAAGAACATGTTGTTCTGCACAGACCTCGTGCCACCAATTTTCTTTTACACAATAGAGCTCTTAAAACATTTGTTCTCCCTTATTTGAGTGATGTGAATTTTTTTTGTATTTTATTTTCAGGGTTATTTATTTGCAGGAACACAAAAAATTATTATCCAACAATAACAAATGCTATTGATCCATAATTTCAATATCAAATTGAGAGGTTAGTCACTCTCAGTAAAATTATATCCTACTTCAATAACCATTATATTACTACAGTTTTAATTGCTCTAGTTTTAACAAAAAAAGCCTAAAGTTCAGTCCCTCAAGTGGTTTCTGCAAATGTTCTTTTAGATGTGATACTTGTCTTCATCTGAGGAAAAAAATCTTTTTTATATATTTTTTTTAAAGACAGCTATTGAACTGTCTTTTTAAAAATGTATGAAGTACCCTTGCCTGAATAGGCTGGACTGGAACTAGTCCACACTCAAGCTTTACAGATTTTGGATTGGCAAATAAAGACTCTGCCTCGCTGAGCTGCACTTTCTTGAGGCACCATTCTGAAAGCTGCAGCTCTCAACACAGTGTCTGTCCAATACTGAATCTACTCAAAAACATCCACACTTACGCCTGTGCTCAGCACAAAAGCATTACCAGGTATCAGCACTGCAGTCATCAAGCACTGACATGGTTCTCACTGGGATCAATCTACATCTTTTACACAGGAAAGCTACAACATGCTGGCTGCTAAGTTTCCCTGTTCTCGTGTGCCCTTGCATGGCTTAAACCAGAGACTTAAGCTTCTCTTCAGAAGTCCATTTGCTTCCTACTCAGTCCTCTTAACCTTCTGGAAACAGGATTTTGAATTAAAATACACAAGACAAAGATTCTTCTTCAACGTGACATTCGTAAGCATTTACCAAAGGCTGGTGTTACCAGGCCAAACTTACTCGTTTTCATGTCATCTTTTTGCTACTGGAGCTTCAGTAATGTGTAGGGTGCCATTAAAAAAATAATTAGCCAAGACAATTAAAAAGTAAGCTACGGGAAAAAGGTTCATATGGCAACACATGGCATTGAGGGAAGTATCAAGGCACAGAGAGGTTACTAGCGGAGTTCCTCCAAGACCCAGTCTCAAAAAGCAGTCTTGTTTCTTGCTTTAGTTAAAAAGTATGACCAGCAGTGATTTGTTTCTCCAAGTGCATGCAGTACTCATGTGGTGATAGGGGGAGGCCCCACAGAGCTTGTGAGACCATTCCAGCAGGGCTGGGCAGCTGTGGAGACTACTGTCCAAGAAACGTATCAAAATTCAACAGTTCACAGTAGCAAACACTTAAGGATTAAATTGAAACACTTGAAGTAGCTGTATACAACCCGATAAAGTACAACTTTAGGAAGGGGTTTGAAAAAGAAGCAGCAATTGTCAGACTCCCCATGTTCAGGCCCACTTCCCCACATTTCAATCAAAACTACATTGTCTTCCGGGAGACGATGCCGACAGACATGAGATTCCATCTGAGCACCACCACCTTGCCATAGTAAAAGCATTCTCACTGTGAAAGCACTCTCATCACTCTTTTTCCCCTATAACGTCATCAGACATGTGGACAGATGGAAACTCTCTCCCTTATCCACAAGTCCAGGCATTCCTTGTAATTCAATAGCATTGCCTCAGCTTCCTTGAAAATGCAAACATCTTTCTGCTAGAACAAGGTGCCATTCCCACATCTGACTGGCTAATTAACAGCTCCTTGTATCAACAGAGATAGAAACTTCTCTCCACTTGAGTAAATCAGCTCTGCACAGGCTTCAGTGCAGGAGCAGTTTTACCTTCCGTGTCAATCCTTCCATTAATTGTTGCCCCGGATGCAACATGAAGTGCCTTCATCCTTGACTTTCGATGTAACAACTTCCAGGCAGCAGTCACATTGGATTATTTGAGTACTAGCACCAACGTCAAAGCAAGAAACAGATATCTTAGGGCCCAGATGGAGAAGCAACTATGCAAATGTCCAAGATTCTGCCCAGACATCTCTTCAGGTCAATTTGTTAAATTCTGGCCATCTGCATTTGAGAAAAACCTCAGGATGGAAGTGATGCAAGGACTAAGCAGCAGCTAAACAAAGGGATGGAGAGTCTCTCTCCAGGGAAGACTGGAAAATCCCACCCTATTTAATCTACCTTAGCAAGACCCAAAAACCAAATAAGCATAAACAAGGGTGGGAAAAACCCCATTAAGCTGAAGGACAGGGATGATTCATAGGCAGCTAAGTATGAACAGTTTGCACATAAGGTTAGGCTGAAAAGTAGAAGGGTCCCGAAGCATCAAAGCAATTTGAAGACAGACTTTAGTGGGAAGGGACAGGGAAAGGAAACTCTAAACTTTTAAAGTGCAATAAAGTGTTCCAAAGAAAAACATCAAGATCTTGCCAGGCTCTTGTTAAGAGCAGGGGAGTTAAGTCAGTAATAAAAAGCAGCAGCTGTACCTTCTCAAAATCCAGAGGACTTCAACACCACCTGTACTACCACTAAAGGATGATTTTATTCAGATTTTGTTGCCAGTTCCTTGTTTGCTTTTAAATTAAAAACACTGGAGTAAAGTAGATGCTGGAAGCATTACAGCGACATTATAAACTTAATGTTTTTTAGACAGTTTTTTGTTTCAATTGTTTACATATGCTACAATCCTTGAATTACTTACAACGAGACTGCAAACTGTGCAGTACAAATAATCAGAGAAACCAAGTGCAGAAACAGCTGCTTTGCAGTGCGTTATATACTTACATGGATTTCTTGTTGGACATCAAGGCTGCGAAAATTTAAGTCTGGTTGTTCTTTCCCAAACTGATGAAAATAACATTGCTTTCTCACATCATCAAACTGCCAGCTGGAATTCCCGAAGACACTCACCTGTTCATGTAAGAGGAGGAGAGAATAAGAACTCCTCATTTAACAAACATTTACTTCTGTGCATACTTTAAAATGTGGGGCATTACAAGCATATAATATAACGCACAAAATGCCTAATCAGTGGACTACATTGTGAGTAGATTTTGGTATTTACATTTTTAATTTATTTTTCCTATTAGCTGTTCTCCCTTTAGTTGTGCTTTGCCACATGTGTTTCTTGTTCAATGTTGTGGGGATTTTTTTTATTTATTAAGTACACTCTCATTGGGAATTATTTGGAATAGAGGGGGAAAACATAGCTGGGAGCATTTATTTTGGAATTGTTTTCCCTAAAACTTAGTAAAAATAGCTTTAGTTAACTTAGAGCTTTCTGCAATCTGTTATTATCCCTTTGAAGTGCCAACAACAGTCAGCATGTTAAAAATGTTAATTTTATCATCATCTCTGTAATAGATCCCAAAAGCTAAGATAGCTCTCAAGACTCTTAAGTTTAGAGAGAAATTATATTAAATGGAACAAAGTATTAATTCTACTTTGAGTTTTTGGAATATACAAGTTCTTACACATGCACCCATCAGTTCAAATTTCAAATAAACCTATTTGAAATAGGCAACACATTTTCTGGCCTGATCACCTTCCAGATCAAAAAAAAAAAAAAAAAAAAAAAAGCCAAGAACACATTGTTTTGTTTCCTGTCCTCACCAACTATGATTTCAGAGGAGCTGACATGAAGTTTCTAGAGCAGAGTACCCAGACACAGAAAGGGGCACATGTGAACAACTCGTGCACAATTACTCTTCTCTGTGTTTGTTTAATGAAGGAAGATTAACCCTGAGGTAAAGGAACACAAGTAATTTTTAAAATTCTGTTTAAATTAGGAACTTCCCCCCAGTCTGGTTTAAATGTTAATCTGCACTAGCCCGTGTAGTAACATCAGTTTGTACCTCTTGACTGTCACTTATAACCCAATGTACATTGGGACAGTCACGCTACAGTTGCTTTAGCTCAGTGGCAGCCTGCATCCAGCTTGGGATTTGCACCTGCCCCATCCCATGTTTACCCAGTTGTTTGGAGGAACGACTGCACCAGCATCCTCCATGCAGTCCTGCCAGATGTAGTAATCTGTGTACTTCCCAGTCCGATTGCGACTCAGCTGAAACCATCGGTGTTTGTCACTTGTGTGGTTTGGTATTAAATCCATTATCACCTTCAGCCCTTAAAAATCAAAACAGTTAGACTAACTAGAGTTTGCCAGTAGCTGGAAGACATCTTGCTGGTACTGTTCCCCCCAGCACGTTGCCTGGGAGGGAAAGAAGGGCAAATTAAAAAATCAGAAGAGATTTCTGCTGTTATGAACCACTTCCACTAACTCCAACTTCAACATCTGTCTCATACCTCCCAGGTGGGAAAGGTACTTCACCAATCTAGCATCAAGGAACACACATTCTTCATCACCCTTCCTAAAGGCTAGACATTTTATTGAAATCTCAAACGTTTTTGGACTGGCAAACCATTTTCCATTCAGCTCAACAGCTGAGCACACATTTTGCCTAAGGCAAAAACGCACCAAAGCAAGGATGCAATTAAGGGAAGGAAGCGTATGTTCCTGCATGTTCAGCCAGAAACAACTGCACCTCAGCCTTGATCCCCAGACTTAGGATGCCCATAACACATGCACAAGGGAGCATGGATGGTGTGCCAGCCCACCACCCACACACGCCCTCAGAGGAGACCATGCCTTGCAGAGGACAAGGCTGCTGCTGCAGCTCCCTGTGCCTTGTCCTGCTCCCAGCACTCCCCTGGCACCAAAGGGCAGGACACTGCAATCCCAGGGCTCATGCTGCTGTGGAGCTCACTTGTACCCTTCACTGGCACCTCCATCTGCTTCTGCTCAACGCCACCACAGGGGGCATAAACTGAAGTCTCAGGTTATAACCTTGCACTATAAGGTGAGTCTTTTTAACAGAGTTACTTTGCTCAGAGGTGCAGCTTACCTCTGTCATGTATGGCTGAAATCAGATTCTCAAAATCACTCATTGATCCAAAAATGGGATCAACAGCATAGAAGTCTTCAGCTCCATATCCGAGGTCTTTTAAAGGGGACTTAAAGAAAGAGGTGATCCAGATGGTTTTTATATTCAAATATGTAACATGGTCCAGTTTTTCCTGGATACCTATTTAAAAGAAAAGGACATAATCTGTTTAGAAAAGACAAAAGATTTTTGTTTAAGTTCTGCATGGGCTCTCAAAGATGGTGCACAGGTCTCCTCAACATGTAACAATCCCTTGTTTTCACTGAGCTCAGGTAGCAGGACAGTCTTGATGTTTCTTCAGGGATAGCATGAGATCACAGAACAGAAACCATTCAAAGCCAATTTTACATGGAAAATAAAGCAGGAATCAAAAAAAAATAGATCAAAACAAATTTACATTCTATATGATAAAATATTTACTATTTGATTTAACAAATTTAACATCCACTTCTGAAAACAAGCTCCTATATTTTGTTAAAAAGCAGTTAAGAGCATTGCCTTCACATTTCAAAGAACATCAGTTAATCCTCAGACTATCCAATGGGAAGCAGTTTTAATGTAAAGATCCTATTTTTTTCCTGACTCAGGAAAAATCCTTACAAAACACAACAGAAAAACCCCATAAGTGACACCTCACTGCAGCTTCCCCTAGTATTTTTAAACCCAAATATTTTCACTTTCCTGACGTGTACTACTGGCATGCAGACACAGAAACAGTTTCTGCTCTTCACTTGCCAGCAAAGCATAGTGTGGCTAGTGCTTCTTGTTTAGAAATGTATTGTCCATTTTGGTGTTAAGCCTTCTCTTTCTACGAGGCAGTCTCAGCTAAGCTACCAGCAAGTGGCATTGTCCATGCACTCTTAAGAGCAAAGAAGCACCTAGACCACGAGCAAAACAAGAAGTAACACATCTTTCTCTCCTCCTTGTCAGTTTTAGTTTCTCCTCTTTGCTGCTGCAACAGCAGCAGCAATTACGAGCCAGAAGAAAATCTTTGTCAGTTTTAGTTTTCTGCAGGAAAAGCAGCCAACCAAACAACAAAGTGCTCAGCACCACCCATCCTCCCGACTGACCTCAGTTCTGTGGAGACATTTCACTCTGATGGCAGCTGAGTTGCTGCTTGCCCTCAGCCCCATTAGAACATCCCTTCTAACTCCAGGCTTAACAACTTAAGCAAGGAACTCCTGGATTTATTCATGACAGTGTGAGTTACCATTAATGCTGTCAGACTACTTTTCTTTCCCCTCTCCATTAGGGTGTCTTTATCTATTGGACTGTATTTTTCTATTGCTTATGTTCTTTATATACACACACACAGCTTTGAACATACCAAAAATGAAAACTGACCCACCTTTCAGATCCCCATTCCCATCCATGTTGCTGTCCTTGAAGGAACGAGGATAGATCTGATAAATAGGACCAGCTTGCCACCAGTCAAGGCACTTTGGAGAGAGAGCAATAATTGCAATCGTAGCACACACCAGTGCAGCAGCAGCAGCAATTATGAGCCAGAAGAGAATCTCCCTGGTGACTCTGTACCGGGCTTGGCTGGAGAACTTCAGCAAGACCTCCTTAGGCATCCCGGCATAAGGCTTCAGCACTGTCTCCTCCTCAGCCACTGGGTCCACATCAACAGTGCACGGTTTTGGCATTTCTTCTCGGCTACTGGTATCTGTTTCCTTGTCATCAAAAGCCTCATTTTGAACAAATCCATTGTTTTCCACACCTCCCTTCTCACTCAGCTCCATAGGTAAGCTCTTAGCTTCCTCCTCGACCATTTTATTTCACGGGTCTTGTCCTGGAGACTCGGCCAGAGCAAGAAACCTTGTCTAACACACCTTTGTTCAGTGAAATGAGAAGCACTGTAGTTAGCATCTGGGTTGATAATCAATCCTGACCAATCCTGGTCAAAGTTCAAAAAGGGACAAAAAGGGCAAAGTGCTCCCAATTTTTCGCGGAATCGGCACCTTCAGCAAGATAACAGAATAGTACTGTTCATACCGGTGGAGCACAGTTACCTTTACTGTTGCTCTCTCCGGTACACCAAACTTCTCTTCCCTTTGACAGCGGGGGAAAATTTGGATTTTACCAATAAAAGATCTAGTAAATATGCAGCTTTCAAGACAAGCCACAGTCTCCCTCACCTAAAGCAGTCTGAATATGGGTAATTTAAACACAGACAGCAAGACAATGAGGTGTTGACAACTATTGGCCCAAAAGCAACAAGATAAACTAAGAAAAAAGATACAAGGGCTGGTTGTGCTTCTTTTTCTCAGCTTAGAAAAACAAAATAACCCAACCCAGCCCACCCGCAACTCTTAAGCACTAACAACTGCTAAGGCACATACCGATCCTGGGATTCACAGTATGAGACATGAGAGGGATTGCTACACCCAGAGCTAGCCCCGGGTCAAGACAGGATAGCTCTGTACAGGCACAAGCAAAACTTGAGAGAAAAACGCACAGCCCACTATTAAAATCCATCCCTCCACCCTTAAAAAAAAAAAAAAAAAAAAAGTTTAAAGGAACCTTTCCCTTCTCCCTCTTTCCCGCTTTTTACAACTCTAGGCAGGAAAAAGCATTGCCCAAAGTCTGCACAACATGAACATGTATACACATCTGCATGGCCCCAGCCCCAGCTGCCCTGAAGCCAGCGAGCCTGCTTTTGTCAAGACAACGCCTCCAGTCGATGCCCCCCTGCCAGGCACACCAAAGGACACACAAAGCAATAGGTATTTGCCAAGGAGCTGCCTTATCACCTGTAAAAGTAAACACCTGCTCAACGATCACAGGGTCAGGGTCCCAGGGAAACTCTCATGGGCAACTGCAGCGGACGAAAAGGTTGGGTTTGACTAAGACAAAATGTTTATTGTGTTTGCCTCAGACCATAAAATAAGTTTATAAACTAAGGACTGTAAAAAGTCGAGCACGCAATATCTGAATGACTCAAATGCATTATCTCTTCAGTAGCTGAGCTAAGAAGAGGTATTTTATGCTGACATATTTAAACCTTTTCTTTCCCTTCCTCACAGCAGTGCCTGGCAGCAACCTCAGCCTGTGCAGCGTCAGGCGGGTGCCAGAGCATCTGAGATAATGGCAGTAGTTTCAGTGCCTCTAGTTCAGTATTGCCAGGAAATTCAGAAGTGGCACATTATTTGAAACAGTCTCACTCCCATCTAATGACTCTACGGTCTTAGCATCATCATACCAGTAAGCTGTAAAAGTTTCCAGGCAGACACGGTACGCTCAGGGCATAAACTTATATTTAGTACAGTGTCAATCACTCCCCACCTCATTTCAATTGTTTCATTTTAATGATTTCACTTTCCATTAAAATAGGAAGCATGTAAATACAGAATTGTGTTTAGCTTGCATCACATACATCTCAAGATGTAGTACTCCCCACCTTGCTTTTTTACCCTCAAATTCAGAAGTTTAAACATGCCCATGGCTTCCTGTACTACCTAAAAACTCCTTCAAGCACATAAAGCATGTCAGAGGCAAGAAAAAAGGATGACCAAAATGCAGCTGCCTGCCACAGATGGATTGGTCAGCCAAGCCAATGAGGCACAGGATGGTCAGGTGCAGAGAGGGCTTGGTGACAGGGCCAGGAATGTCTGAGGACACACAGCACCCTGTCCTGCTCTCGGTTTGCTTGGTACCACATCACGACTGCACCAAGCAAAACTTGCCACAAACCATGGTGAACATCTCTTCTGAGGAATACAGCCCAAAGGAGGATCCTGACATTTTACCATTTTGCAGCATGGGCATACAATGACAGAAGGTGGGTGTCAGAGCATTTACATACTTTAGACACAAATCAGCACTTCTGCAAGTCCCAAAAAGCATCTCTGGCACATCACTGGGACACAGACATGTAACTCAGTATGACAAATAGCTGCTCAATAGGCAATGCTACATGACTGTGACCAAAGTTACAGTTCTGTGTCTAATTCACCAGCATTTAGTGCTAATTTAATCACCTCCTGACAACTTGCTCTGGCCTTGCATTGCTCCTTGCCTCATGCCAGGTGAAGTACTTAGGCAGATGGGCAGTGAGCCAGATTGGGAAACAGATTTGGCTAAAAAAAAAAAATATTTTATTCTTCAGAAAGTTCTATCCCCAGAAGACCACACCAATGCTTCAGCCAGAGGAGGAGGGCAGCAGGCAGGGAGAGGGGACAGGACACAAAGCCCAACAACTTGACTGAACAACACTCCAGCCAAATCATAGCCTTCGTGTCCCAACATTTCTTTTAGTACATTCTCATCTGTCCCTCAGAGAAAGTCACATAATCACACAGTGCTATCATTTCATTTCTGGGAGTAGAACGCAGTTAAGTTTCACACCCACCAACACTGCTGGAATCAGAGACAGGCAGAGGGTTTAAATTCCATGAAGGGTTTATCCCGACTCATGCATGAAATCTACAGAGGATCAGGGACCTAACCCCAGTTCACCACAGTACTACATCACCATTACACAAAACACTATTGAAAGTCTGGTTCCAAGCGAGAATTTCAACTCCCCCCTCACCTCTTTTCTTTAAGCCAGTAAACTTACTGATAATAATTGCCTGCATGGACACTACTTGCTTGATCTAAAGGTAGAGGGAGATTATCCTTCCCCTGCATATGTTTTACAAGGGACAGAGGCCAATTTAGTATTTCAGTAGTCAGACGCTGCCACTGCTCTCTGTATGCACGGTTTGGAAACCATTACTTTTCCCTTATTTGAACATCTTGCAGGAGCACAAGGGCCAATGCCTGCTCTGCAAATCCCGCTGTGCGAAAGCCGTGCCTTCAAAAGAGCCCCTCTTGTCCTAATGTAATCCTCAAGTAATATTAAAGGTTTATTTATACCTTAAGTAGGACAGATCGTGTCTTAATTGCCAAGCGCCTGGCTGAAAAGAGGAGGATTATACTGCTGGGGTAGATAAATGCAGCACGCAGGAGGCGGAGGCCACGGATAAGACACAGCGACACAATTACTGTAAGGTTAAAACAGAACATAAACCATCCTGGAAACTACCAAGTGGCAGCCTTGGTGAACATGAGAGTTCTTAGAGTCGGACTCACTGGGCTTACAGCCAAACTTCAGTCGTATTTCAGATCAACTAACTCCACGTTGCTACATACGAAGAGCTGAAGCACAAGCAGGTACCAGCGGAGCACAGGTACACTTAGGATAGAAATCTGGACCTTGAATACTAAAAATTCTTCTAGAAAACCTGCAGTAAATATACAGCCAAGGAGCTTAAAATAGGAGAACAAACCCAAGAATCTGGTATTGTCTTCTATATGTTTTTCCTCATAGACTAAAAATAAAACCACACAGGTATTTTGTTGTTATTACAGACCTTTCTTTCTCTTCTCCTAAACCTGAGGAGTTGCTTGCCTTAAAATTATTTGATAAAGGAAAACTGTAAACTTCATCTTAGGAGAGGCAGATCACCAACAATTCCCACTGAGCTTTAACTTTTTCCTTTTAAAAAATATTTTATGTATGCAGGCATTATGCTTCTGGCTTGCTCTCAAGCAATTCTCAAATGGTTCCCTCCTGAGCAATTTTATAGTTTAACAGGAGTAACTAGCCAATGCAACTGCGCTAGCAGAATCCACTGAAAAGCATTAAGGAGTAAAGAAAACACTTCATATTCTCTGCCAGTTACTCTGTTTACCTCAGGGTTAGGTAGGGAAACAAAACCAATCGGTATGTGGGCAGTAATAGCTGCTATCTCCACACAGATTGCCATGGTTATTTCTAAAAGATGGAGGGGTTAATTTCCACAAGTATTTCTTGTATATAATTATTTAGATGCACTGACTGACTTAGCATCTACTGTTTGATGCTCTACAAATGCCAAGTAGCTTGCCAGTTACTCAATACCATACATATTATGCTGAAAACCATGGAGAGGGGTGATTATGCACCCTAATGTGCTAAGTGTAGGAAGACGTTTATTGTTAAAAAGTTCTCTTGCTTAATGCTTTTTCATTAAAAGGTTTGTTGCCACTGGAACTGGTCTGACATAATGCACTTTACCGCTAAATATAACCTTCTTATTTTCAGAATCAGGGCCAGCTTTACACCTATGGAAAAAAGCAGACAGGACAGTTGTCAGTTCTTCCTCAGCTGCTCCCTCAAGACTGGTGGATAATTTGACCTTTAAAGTTGCCTTTCACTCAGCACTAAGAAAGTCCTGTCTCGACCCGGAGGGCAGCTGTCAACAGAGAGATGGTCTCCAGGAACAAGTTTCTGACACAGTATCTTTTACCCTGGGAATCCATGAGCATGTCTGAAGTTTCTGCCACCAGCCTGAAGTCCTGGGGTGGCAAAATGTAATTGCACAGGACACTGTTACATGGTTTGATTGGGGGGGTGTTACTTTTTTTAGTGCTCTTAGTCCACTAATGGACTATGCGATTAAAGGTTAATGTCATTATCAACGCTGTAATTAGCTACTGCTTGGCCCCTGCCCCCCACGGCTGATCAGCATGGCTGGCTTCCCCCACTATTTTTAATGAAAACAATTTTCCACTAATTCTTGCTGTTATTGTAGCTGCAAGAACAACGGCACGCAGCGTTGACTCCTTCTGGATGCCCTCCCTGCAGAGGGTCCAACTCTGTCACACCCCCATAGAAAATCTTACTTAAACTCCAGGTTTGTTACCTCTCCAGGAGGAAGCTCACTCGCATAACTGCACCCTTCTCAATTTACCCTCTTCCCTTTACGGTACTCATCCGTTACATTTCTATCCTAGGAGATGACAACTTAAAAGGATTTTCTTTTCCAGCCTACTCCTGGAAACCTTTCCCAGCAGGAGACATAGACCTCGATTTTACCCTTGTGCGAACCGAGAATGTTCAGCATAGTACTGAACCCTGTCAGACTGTTGCTGAAGTTTTGGTGGCTATAAACTCAAGAGGGACTTTGCATTACTGAAACATCCCTGAAATGGGAGATCTTCAATACAGACAGCAGAGCCAGGCAGGAAGCCAAGCAGAACCTCAAGAAAATAAAATGGCATTGCACTGCATCACCACCACATCCATCCTTTGGGTTATCAAAAGGCAGCACCCCACAAGCTACATCTATCCCTGCTGGGGCTTATCTCTGACAAAAATTTACATTCACTCAGTAGTAATCAAGGAGCAAGTTTTGGTCTGTTGAGCACAAAGCATTTCATCACGTGGCAGGATGAAAGGACTTATAGGAAGGGGCTGTCAGGCAGGGAATACTGTGTTCTGCACAGCTGTCACTGCATGAGCACAGCTACTGCCATACTATACAAGCTGTGCTGCTTTTCACAGTGCCTGCTTCCCCACCTGCAGGAATTACACACAGAGTATCACACTTATATACGGTGCTCCATATGAATTTACTCCTTTCCATGGCTCTCCAGGTGCATCCAGATAGGCCTTCCTGCAAATAATTTGCTTTTTCACATATATCAAATTGGTGACAGGCATTTCATGATCAAGCCTACTCAGGTTGTGCTCCTGTGAAATAATTTCCTGCTAAAAGAGCTCAGTTCATATAAAAAATTCTTTAGTCTTTGTACAGAAAACTTCACTTACTGGCACTGAATTGCATCCCAAGACTTTTAAAACATCTGCTTGGGACCAACAATCGGTCCACATGGTTTGATGGATTCCATATCAAACCATAACAGTCCAGCAACAGTTATGCAAGTGAGTGTGAAAAAAAATCAGTTGAACATTGGGAGTAAAACAAAGAACTGGACGTATATATTTTATTAAAAAGCCCCCAAACCAACAAAACCCCATTTCTCCAATTTGAGTGGAGCGATGTAGCTGTGAAACAAGAGCTGGCACACGCAAGGTTCTGCATTCAAGGAAGGGATGCTGTGGCCAGCACAGACTAGACCTGTGCATCAGGTAAGCACTCCACATCTATAAGGAATCATTTCCAAAGATACACCTACCATTCACTGCAGACATAAGTAGCAGAACTTAAATTTCATATTCACATGAACATAGAAAGACTGAAATTGAAGACAATCCAAAGCTTTTACCTAATTCAGCTCAAAGCATAACGGCTACTAGGATGATATGAGAAGTTACAAGATATAACTTTGGAGGAGTGTTTTTTGTTGTTTGTTTTTGTGGTTTTTTTCCCAAGTCCACAAAAACAGTACTTGAAATATAGTAACCACATGTAAAAAAGTTGCTGCAATTAGTCACACAATTGGATCTCTCTGTTTTCCTCTTTAATAAATTAATTGAGTGGGAAGTGAAATGCAACAACTAATCTCTGAAGCAGCAACATGGAACTTGCTATGTTTTTAAGGTAAGGGCAAGTAGGACTGAAGGGATGAATGTAAAACATATTTCAGCATTTTAAAATTTCACAGCCAGCACAATGCAAAAAATACTACCTAAAAACAGAGACTGAGAAGTTCCTGTAAAGCACCACAGTTCCAAACATCACACATTGTGTTAGCAGAGTATTTCCTACAACGACATCCTTCCAAATGAATGCAGATTTACTGGAGCCACAAAAGGTATTTTGGTTTGATTTCATACATTCTCTGCTCCCAAAGGTGAAATATTATTATTTTAAATGTATTAGAAAAACACATCTGCTTTACATATCCAGGCCAAAATCTTTATTGCACAATTAAACTCAGATTATGTTCACAAAGATGGCTAAAAGATTTTTAAAAAAATATATCTCAGAGGGCATTATCCAGTTTCTCCTAGGAACAACAAACTACATTCTGTAAATTACTTGTCCAAGATTAAGCAGACATCCACCATTTTGCACCTGAGTAACCTGCCAAACAAACCAAAGAATGAATTTAAAAGGGATGGCATTAAGAAGTTACTTTATAAAAATAATAGGAATTCTATTTTCATTAATGTAATCATGGGGCCCCTGGTGGTCTAGTGGTAAAGGCGCCGCGCTATCACCGCCGAGACCCGGGTTCGATTCCCGGTCAGGGCCACTCCCGGGCAGGTGGGGCTCGTTAGCCCTTAAAGGCAACCCATCTACGTCCTAAGGACCTCGCTGCCACCGTCCAAGCTCGCTTGGCCCCGGCAGATGAACCTTAGGATTAAAGGGTGGGCTCAGTTCCACGCACACTGTGTCTCACCTAAAAAATCCAATGCGCAGGCTGGAAGGTGGAAAGACCTTCCCCAGATCTTTGCTCGCGAAGACTGGCCATTATTATTAATGTAATCAGACTTTAACACGTATTTTACTTCATAGTTAAAATGCATTCACTTCAATGTTTCCAACTAACTTCCGAATGTAGGATATTTAGCTAACTATGTTTAACATTCACCCCCCAAAGAAGTAAGTAAAATATATCGATGTGGAGAGGTGCATTTTTACCAGAGCTTCTCTTTCAGCACATATTTAAAAAAGACAATTCAGATTTTTAAAGGAAAAAAATAATACTCTTGCAAACAATACAACATACACAAACATTTTTGGATACCCTTTCTAAGTTCTGCGTACTTGCCTCCTGAAGGTAGTGTTTTATCTCAAAATACAGAATTTTCATTCATAGGACAGGATTTTCAGTATGAATTTCTGTCCAATTTCTTTCATTTAAGCTTTGCAGCTATTTCAGAGTGACAAATGCAGTATTTCCGCGTTTAGAGATCTGAAAAACTTGCAAGATTGTCATTAGAGGACTCATGAATTTCATTCTTTCCGGCTTTTTAAAGGTGAATGGCATTGTCCTTAAAACACTATTACACAATAGACTCAACTTTCCCACAACTCACCTTAAATTCCAAAAAGTCCGAGAAAGCAGAAAACCAGGGTAAAAGTAATTTCTGAAACAGACTTGACACCACAGGAAAAATTACTTCCAACAAGACTGTTTCAATTAATTGCCACAAGTCTTCCTACTACACAATGTTTTTCTTCCTTTACTGGGAAGGGCAACTGCTTTGGACATTCCCCATCAAAGAAAGCTGACGGGACATGCCCATTTTTTTTCTCTCTCATCAGGCCATCCCCATGACTTAAACCCTTCTCAGTCTTTGTTAAAAAGCCGGTGCTGATGCAATCATTAGCTAATTTACAGTCACTAATCGCAGTATCAGCACAGCAAAGACTTCTTCTGTTGGAAATTCCCCATCAAGCTGCACATAAACAAATAAGAACAGCCGAGGGCAGAAGCAGGAAGTTACTCATCAATCAAGAAGGAAGATCTCAATAATCCCCGGCAGCCTTTAAATCCAGGTATCACAGCAAAGGAGAGCTTTACAAATTTCTAGAAGTCCAAATAGGGTTTTTAGGGGAACACGACCTTTCCAACACAGAGCCAAGCACAGCGGTACTGATTCAATGTGTAACAGAGTGAATGATGGAAACAAC